GTGGGATCAAGTTAAATGGAATAGATGGAAGAGATCCTATCCCCAAGGCATATACCGCTCGCCGACTCTCCCCACGTGAATCATCTCCCCAATTTTTAAAGCGATGCTGACCGTCCGATGGCTGGCCCACCACGGGTTCCTATTTCCGGGGGATCGACTGACGCGACGCCCATCCGGTTCTCTTCCGGAGTCCGCTCGCTACTCGGCTACGGAAGAGTACCTTCCCCTGTCCCCATTCTCGCCGCCCTTCGCCCTCGACCGTCCGATTCCGCCGCAGGTAAGTCCAACCCAGCTAATCTTGCGCTGGTGTCTTCGATCATTCCTCCCTTTGGAACCCTTCTTCTTCCGAACAAGGGAAAATAATCAGAAACTAAGTGTTGTATTGGTTTAGAATGCATTAGGCTTGGGATTGTTTGATGCTGATGATCATCGTGGTGCATTTTGTGATCAGATCACCATTTTGTTTTTGATTCCGTAGAAAGCTGTAATCTTTTGTTAGGTACCACGTAGAATGTCATCTGCATTAGCTGAAAAGAGTAATCGAGTTGACGAATAAGAATCCCAGTTTGCAATCAACAGCAAAAGAGAAAATAATAGATGCAAGTCATTTTAGGACAGTTTTTATCCGATGAGGATAATTTGTATTAAGTTCATACACTCATTTTTTGGGACATATCTTGTCATGCACCTCTTAGAAGGTGATGATGAAAAGGAGCTTCTGAATTATTTGCTCAAGAGGATAAAACTAAGTTATATTGAATGAGTGAGCAGTCAATTTTTCTTTAATGGCACATCTTTTAGGTCTAGATATCAGGCAAACCTTATCTTAGAATGATTTAAGTATGCCCAAGATTGACACACATTCAATCAACTTTCTTATAGAAAGATTCAAATTCTACATTTTTGTGCAATAATATCTGGTTGAGTCATTTTCATCAAGAATAATGTGCCAGAAATAAAACAGCTTTGGGGGCCTAATCCATGTTAGAAATTTTATTCTCAAAAAGAACAATGAATTTATACATTATTAACCGCCTAGCTTAGGAAATGACGTCCATATATGAGATTTGCCTGCAGCATTTTTTTTGTCTCTAGATCATTATCGAGTGACATTGAAATTGTTGACTAATTGGGTGTTGGCAAAGCCACAAAGAAATATTATATGTTGCCTGTTGAATCCCTTCTTTTTGTTGGCATTTACTACTTTTTATTTTATTGCAGTTCATTTCTCAGGAAATCTAGAACGATTGATGGGTTCGATTGACTCTATCGCAAATGGTTCTGAAAAACAAGCACTTTCTGAAGAGCAAAGGACTAAGGTAATCTTGGTTGACAACATGAGCTCTGCAGTGTTCTTGTCTGTTATTGTTAAAAGGGCTGGTACGAATTATTCAGCATCTGTTGTCATTATAACTTAGAAAATAATTTCCTTTATTCTATCTAGTCGTGGAAGAGATAATTTTTTTGGATTTTTAAATCTTTTTTTCTCAGATAAATGAGGTAAGAGCATCATTAGGACCATTGCCAGACAAGTTAGTTTGTTATTCTTCTGATGCATCAATTGCAAGATATTTGACAGCAAGAAACTGGAATGTGACAAAGGCAACTAAAATGCTAAAAGAAACTTTGAAGTGGCATCTTGAGTACAAGCCAGAAGAAATTCGCTGGGTGAGTTAACTCTTTAGCAAAACTCTCACTATTGTGCCTAGTAACATATTTTTCTCTAGTTAAAAATTGTTTCCTCCTTTTTTTATATCACTCTGTAAATTGTGGATTATTAATGCTGCAAGATCTTTTAATCCCTGGAAATTTAGCAAGAAGACAAAGGACTAGATATGACACAGAATTTAGTGATGACAAAAATTCAACCATGTTTAGTATGTGACACATGCAAGAATCTTTTAGATATTATATGTTGGCATTTTATTAGACTGAATAGAGCCTTTGCCATTTCTTGGGAGGAGATACCACTATGAATCTCATCCCATCTTTCTTTGTGCACCCTCCACCTTCCTCATCTTTTTTTCACTTTCTTGAGTAAAAATTTGGAAATTCTCTGCCATGTTTCCATTTATGTAATGTGAGAAACAAAATTGTAGCTGTGAAACTGTCAAAAAGAACAAATAAAATAGAATAAAAAGAATAAAATATTTTGGAGGAGAAGTTTCTCCTGTTACCTAGAGAATAGAGTCTTGTTTTTCTTTGATCCATGCTAACAATCCAAGCTACCCAGCATCAATTGAAAACTGTGGTTTTTCATGCACCGATGGGATCATATATTTTCAGTATTGCGGTTAAGTTAATGATTTGCATGCTACCCAGCATCGGTTGAAAACTATGTAGTTTTTCATGAACCAACAGTGCTGTAAAGTTAAAGAAATAGTAACTTATTTTGTATGTATCATCAGTCACTTTATTGTTGTAAATTTCAGTTGACTTATCCTCTTTCTTATTTTTCTTCTTAATTGATTTTCTTTTAGGATGAAATAGCTCATGAAGCTGAGACTGGAAAAATTTACAGATCAAGTTATTCGGACAAGTTTGGAAGGAGCATTCTTGTCATGAGACCTGGATACGAGGTTTAATTGATCTACTTCTTCCTTACTTTTGTCTCAGCAAGCTTACAGAATGTTCTCATTTGTTGCATGCAATAGAATTGGAAGTTCAGTATATGCAAATTTTGCGGACCGGTGCTTAATTGTGTCTGCTTCCTCATTTTTCAAACTGCAGAACACAAGGTCAACAAAGGGAAAAATTAGGTACTTGGTGTATTGTATGGAGAATGCAATTCTCAATCTGCCACCTGATCAGGAACAGATGGTGTGGCTCATTGACTTTAAAGGATTCAACCTATCAAATATATCGATCAGGACAGCGAAAGAAACGGCAGATGTTTTGCAAAATCATTACCCAGAAAGATTGGGCTTAGCTATACTGTACAACCCACCCAAGTTCTTTGAACCTTTCTGGACGGTACGTCATCCTCTTTTTCACATCTGGAATTGTAAAGTGCTCTCCAAGAAATACTTAGCAAGAAAAGTATTTGAGTGTATAGTAATGAATTTAATAGAATTATAAAAAAAGATTTAAATATTCCTAACTAAACATATGATATTTTACAAATCTCAATGACAACAAAAGATTCATGTAATCATGAAATGACTTTCCATATACCATGTAGAATAAATTTGATTTACTTCTTTCTTAATTTTGCTGATATTTCCCATATCAAAATTAAGCATAATACAGACTGTGACTTAGTGACGATAGTTGTTATTGATAGACTGAGCATGGTACTTTGTAGAAGCATGAAGTTTATTTCATACATGCAGAATTTTCATGAGTTCTGGCAAACTTTTGATTTCATGAATCAATTTTTTTTTATGATTTTTATTCAAGCCATGGATTTTCTTTAAACTTGTTTGTCTTGAATATTTAGGGAAATTGACAGTAATTTTCTTGCATCATTTTCTAGATGATGTTCCTGATAATCTCTAATCACTTTCTCTTTCTTATTTCATGTCTTTCAGTTTTTGTAATTAAACTAAGTTTTGTGCCTATCATACATTCTGTCTTGTCCCTGCATTAGAAAGGGCATAACCATAGCATTATATCACTGAACATCTATCTTGATGAATTTAAACATTTTATTTTCCCTAATTGTAACTCAAATACATAATTATATCTATCATGATAGTCTCAAACTTTTATGCATCAGTTCATTATATCTGTACCTGCTGATTTTAATGCATCAAATTTTTAAGCATTTGGCAGATAGCTAAACACTTGCTGGAACCGAAGACATGCAGAAAAGTAAAATTTGTTTACTCCGATGATGACAACACCAAAAAGACCATGGAAGAGTTCTTCGATATGGATGAATTGGACTGCGGATTTGGAGGCAACAACCAAGTGGGTTTTAATATCAGCGATTATGCAGCAAGGATGAAAGAAGATGACAAGCGGATGCACTTCATTTGGAGCCAAGAAAATGCCTCATCATCCTCAGTTCAACATGAAACGATAATGACAAATGTTTCCGGCAACTCTGGATCAGATTGTGATAAATCAGAGAACGGAACACCTGGCAGGTGAGAGTCATACCTTCTTTGATGGCAAATCTCCACCTAAAAACGACATGGTGGACTTGAATGACAGGACATTCATTGCATCCCCTGAAACTATTTGTTGAGGGAGAAGACAGTAAGGCTTTAGCAAGACCAATGTTATCAAGTTTGGATATTAGGAATGTTTTCTCAAACTTTTCTATGTATTTTCTGTACAATATTTATTATTCAAAGATTCATAGTTGGCATGAATAATGATAACTTTCTTCTCCAGTCCATGTTATGCAATGCTCCATTGATAGTAAAATTCAAAGAAAAAATGTCTTCTTGGTGAAGTTGTATCAAATCAGTTGATTATGTTTCCGCAGGCTTTGTTGTTGTTGATGATGAATCCTCTTAGAATAATCTTAATTTCTCATCATTTCTCATGATTAAACAGATATCAAGTGACACAACAAATATTACATGCCAGAATCACCAAGGCCTCTAGATATATTAACTCAGTTCTAACAGGAGATAAAAGCTAGTTAATGACATCGATTAACCCGTCAAGTATGCCAATGATCATAGATTAGAAAGTCTCCTCTTTATAATCATCACACCTAAGTGTCAGAAAGTAGACCTAGTTTGTTCTGATTTAATTTGCACTAAACTGCTTGATTCCAAAAGAGTTTGGGTTGTTCTGCTCAAAAGAATATTAAGCTGGTGCTCTTTTCCCCAGGCATAAACCTAGCAAGAAAAAAGATCCAAGGAGCAACAACAGATCTAAACAAACTCTGGGCGAGTAATAATCTACAGGAAATTGTTCATGGATGTGCATGCCTGAAGTAAATTGATCTCAAGTAAAGCCACACAAAAACACTAGCTCTGAAAGAAGACAACCACAGCAGATTAAGAGGAAGTCACAGATGCCAAGTAATGGAATTGATGAACTTCAAAAATGATGCTTAACCATTGATAGTCGATAATTAAGCTTGAATATTTATTATTGCATTTGTAAAAGCAGCTTGAGGCGACACCACCCGACACAACAAAAATGAACAAATAATACAATCTGCAGAATCTTCTTTCTACATTGAACAAAACTTCGCCTATAAGGTGAAGAACATAGCGGTAGATGCTTCTAGGATTCTAGTAACTAAGACATCGTAGAAGGGGCCTGTGATCATGCTCATACGACTTCCAACCACGAAAAGCTCCTCAAGTATTTTCTAGCACAGACAAGACTGTGAAGAACACCACAAAGGAACATAAATGAGCAGACTCGAGACATAATATGCAAACCAAGTTAAAAGACACAAGCTTACAGGTATCACTGGAACATTTCATCTAGCTTCTGCCTGTAGAGAGCCAAACGCTGCATTCACATAAAAGAGACCAATCTTAATCATACAGTGGTCTTAAATGTACTTTGATGAAATAATAAATGTAGCTATGTTGCACTTATAGGATAAAATATTTTCAAGGAACTAATGGTAATAATATAATTACCGTTAATCCATACCTATTTTTCTGTGACATACATTTGGCTATCGGGAATGAGCAAAATTAAGATAACTACATGGAAGTGCTGGTAATCATACAATCATCTCCATTAAGAAATGTAGCTATGTTGTACTTATAGGATAAAATATTTTCAAGGATCTAGTGGTTATAATATAATTACTGTCAATCCATACCTATTTTGCCTGACATACGACTAGCTATTGAGAATGAGCAAAATTAAGATGACTACATGAAAGTACTGGTAATCATACAATCAATTTGTCTGTAATAATAAGTGTAGCTATGTTGTACTTATAGGATAAAATATTTTCGAGGAACTAATGCTCCTAATATAATTACTGTCAATCCATACCTATTTTGCTATGACATACGATTGGCTATTGAGAATGAGCGAAATGAAGATGACTACACAGAAGTGCTGGTATCATACAATCAATTGTCTGTAATCATACCTTTGATGTTGATGCTTAGGTCGTAGCAAGAGAACTTTAAATAACAGAGATGGGTACAATAATCAAGGGTTTGTTTATAAAAGATCATCACCTTACTAGTGAATTAAGAAAAGCCAACCAAGAAGGGTGACCTAAGAATAATGTAGATTAACAGAGTACAAAGGGCAATCTTTTATCTCAAAGTAATAGATGAGCCAATGAGCAAAAAAGTCCAAAATAGGAACCAAGATATACATAATAATGTGGAAGAAAATTATTGGTAACATGTGAAAGTGTCGAAATATATGAGGCTATGAACATAATAATGTTTCATCTTCTATTATTCTTTCAATGTCTCAACAAAATCTCCCTGTATATCTAACCTTTTTGCTGCTGTGGATAGGCAAGTGTGTATCATCTAAAAACATGAATTATTTGCTCTTGGAGATGATGCATACCCTTTTTGTGCAGTCTTATCATGTTCTAGAATGTGTCATCAAACTTTTGCCTGAAGAACTAAATCATCTTTTAACTAAGAAAAGGTAAATTCTGTAAAAACAGATATGCAATATTAAAGAAATATACTTTTTCATAAATGCCATGCAAATTGCATTTTGCAGGTCATGACTTGATCAAAGTGCTTCTTTCCTCTCGCTTAAAGTTCTTTCTATGTTGTGCACATGGCATGGTCAAACCTTTGTCACCTAGGACAGGAGGAAATAGACGCTATGCACCACAAGAGGATTTAAACCCATGAAAGGGACCTGGATACCTTAAACCGTCCAAGATAGTGGATATTTGGCTCTTGCTTAAAGTTTTAACACTGTTTCACTGACTATCAGAAAAGCATCAGAGACAAAGAAGAAAATTTTCCAAGACAAGTACACATAGATATTGTGGAATATCTAACCACATGAATTCATCAACTTCTTAATCTTTTAGCAATTTATTCTCTTTCTCTTTCTCTTCTTGAATTTTGATCAATCTGATTATCTTAAAGCCAGAGAAAACACATCAATTTCATGCACATGGACATACATGTAGAGGTTTCATAAAGCATCTAGATTTTATCATAAAAATATAGAGATCACACCTACCTAGAAACAAGAAGCATAAGGGGATTAATGTAACAAAATACATACTCTGGTATAAGCATAAACACCAGCCTCAGAAGGACCTACTGGGCTTCCTCTCCTAATAAACTTTCCATCTTTGAATATATAAAGCATTGGAATGCCAGTCGACAGTTCAAGGCTGATGACCTGAAGGAAAAGTAAAGTAATAATCTTTACCGCATACTAAAAGCAGTTTAAGAAACAAATCTTCACGTAATAGATAGACATATGCTTACCTCCTGAGAAGTCAGCTTGTCCAGGTACATAATGATGGACCTCAGCGAATTCCCATGTGCAGCAATCATCACATTCTTCCCAGTCAAAAGTTGAGGTACAATCTATCATAAAATCATTCAGAGTGGTCAAGGGCGTGCGAACAAGATATTATGTACTTCATCCTATATAAATCAACATGATTATCGAGTAGCTAACTTCAAGATGTCAGCGATATTTGCTGCTTGTGTTGGGAGGCAAAACTTCTGTTAGGAAAAACCAATAATATATTCAAACAAGCCAGCTTAATTTTCTCAATTATGCAATTAAAGATTATTTATTTTAATAGAATTTTTTTTCGGCATCAATATATTGCTCAAGCAAATTGGAGTTCCTAGTTAATGCTTTTATAGATTTGTAAATAAAAATTAGTACTCCTCACTTGTAACTTTTGCTCGGTGATAAGGAGCACAGTCTAGAATATTTTACATCTACCATGTCAAAGGTAAAAGATGAATCTTTTTAGTCTATTCTTCTGAGTATTCAAGTGCCATGGGAGCACAGAGACAGGGACCTGTGGATACATAACTCAAGCTTAAGAGTTGAGATCTGCAGACTGGGTCCATATATTAGTATCAAACAAGATGATACCTTTTGAGTCGACTTTGGGCTAGCTAACTGCAGCTGAGTGTTGAAGGCATCTTTTCAAAACTCAAAAAAGTACTGCACAGCAGTATAGAATATCACCGACTTAGATGTCATCAAGACACTGACACAACACGAGAAGATAGAACATGACCAGCAGAACATAATCAAAGGTGTGCTTTGTCATGCATTCTACAGCAAATATCTTCATGTATATCTAAATAAAAGATACTTCTAGGGAAACATATATGCCGTAAGTCCTAAATATGAATTAATCAAGTGAACATCTAACTAAAGAAATATCTATCTATGTCCAATTAAGAATTATACCACATTATGAAGGTGAGGTATGCTACATCAGAATCAAAGACAACAGCCTCATATCATGAGGCAGGAAATTGTCTGAAATGCCTTGATGAATTCTTTGAAACAAGAACTTGATAAAAGTTAACTACTTGTAGCAACAGCTGAAACTTCTCGCAATGAACCAAATCATTTAAAAGGTCCTTACTTGCTCCCTGAAATAAGCCACAGCTCTTTCAGCACACATCTCCAAACTCTCGCCATTTGGGGGAGGAATGTCATAACTACGACGCCATTCATGAACTTTGTCTTTTCCAAAACGGTCAGCTGTTTCCTGCTTATTAAGACCTTGTAATTCACCATACCTAAAGGAAACAATAGGAAACAACACAATTATATTATAAACTGATCTGAGACTAATTCTTATACAACAAGTAAACATGTTTATTGAAAATATTAAAAGAGTAGCCATTACATTCTTTCATTCAGTTGCCAGGCAGTTATCACAGGAATGGACTGTTTGTTGGTTTCTTCACTATATATTTGACTCCACTTCTGGGCCTGTTTGCTCTCATTGTGCATAATGATCGGAACCTAAATCAAAGTCAACAAGAGAGAAAAGCAATTGTTAAGACTTCTTGATAGCGTAACATATTGAGAGAAATACTATAGATAAGAAAGAAGTTCACTACTATAATTAGCAAGGTAAAAGGATAGGAAGGAACAGAAACCTTTTTGCGACGATGTTGGGTCATTGCTAGCATAGCAGTCATTTGGGCACGAATCAGTGAAGATGTAAAGATCGTGTCAATAGGTATATTGCTTATTCTTTTACCAGCTTCAATTGCCTCCTCCACGCCCTTTTGAGTCAATGGTACATCAACACATCCTGTAAAGAGATTTTTCTCATTCCACAAAGACTCACCATGTCTAATCAATATAAGTGAAGCTTCACCTGCAAACAGACGAAACAACAATTAGCCTGGGCAAGAAAAAAAGGAATCAAGTTCCAGTTTCACATAGCTAAAAGGTTTTTAAAATAACATGCAGCAGCGCTCTAAAACTAGCTCAAAATACCTTCTCGATTACTTCTCATCTTTATTAGGTGATATCATTTGCTAGAAATATAACATCTAAAAAGAAACAGCGAAAACTGCAAAAAAAAAAAAAAAACTACTTACTTGATTTTTTCTGAGAATCACTAGAATTGCTGTTTGATGGTATTCGAACTGGATCGGCAACCGAAGAATGTGAGCTCGATGCACGAACCACACACAATTTCAAGCTCCGAGGATAGCAGCTTCCTCTTGTAAGAAGCCGCATCTCGATGTTTACACCCTTAGAAACAGTTTTCACAGGTAAGCTTCCAAGCCGGCTTAACAAGCCAGTTTTACCGTCGTATCCCTGGCCTTGGATGGAACCAAGGGTATGATAACATGCTGTTGAAGCCATTCTGATGCATTTACATAAAAGTGAGGATGAAATCTTGGCAATTATGTGATAATTACTTCAGAAAGAACAAAGAGAACAACCATGATTAAAGTATAATGTATTTTTTATTAAATTAGAAGAATTTTTCATTACATCAAATGGCATATATAACGTGGACTCAAACTTGATATTTATCACTTGTGCAACAATACACTAACCAACCAACATGGATGTCTCTGTTCAACAGAGAGAGTAAGGACTGTATAATGTAATTTTTCACCTAAAAGATTATAATAGTAATGTTGCAATAAGTAAACCAATTCCCTTATTTCCTTATCTTCTAACTCGTTCCAAGGATCTAAAGAAATAGGAATGTCGCAAGGTTACACTAAAAGCAGCGTAATATGACATAAACTATCAACGATTTAAAACATACCGAGATTAAATAGATCGATAACAGGAGCAGTTTGAATATCGATGAAAAAGCATAAAGGTAATCATCTCTTGACCTAAGGATGCAAGGTTTCAATCAGATGCATACTTTGGTCATCTAGAAATAACTAGCAAAGCAAAGTTTTCTTCCGATCGGACTCAAGAATGGACGTTTCCATATGAAATTTCTGAGATCTAACTAGAAAATGTACTCTAGAAACGCAAAGAAGCAGCCTCATAACTGCATATTAGGACAATCTCAGAAAGATCATTCTTTTCCGGGTCCTGAGAATTTGGGAAACAAGAAGAAAGAAGAGATCAAGACGCCACCTTTTTCCGGCACACGGGAAGCTCGATTCAGAGCCTCGGAGACCGCAAGATGGCACCTTTTGTAGCGTGTCCGTGGAGTCCCCGCGAACCAAGACGAATCTCGATGAAACCGAGGCCAAGATAGGCAGCAACCGGACGGGTGCGCGCAGGAAAAAGGAGCAAAAGATCGAGAAGAAATGGCTGAGGAAACAAAGCTTCTCGGAGAAGGCGATCGAGTATGGCGAGAGCGGACAAGTCTAAGTTGTCAGCCGAAGAGAGGATGGTTAGATGGTGCAATTTATGTAGGCTTCAGCGGTGTCACCAAACTTGGCGGAAGAACGATAGAAACACACACAGAGGGGTTGGTGGGAAAGACAGAGACAACAAACAAGAAATAGAAACGTTTTGGAAACACTTTTTCCCACACGCAAAAAACGTTTTCTCTAACTACAAGTTGGTAGCACGCTTCAAATGCGGAGAGTTGACCGATTTGAGTTGCTTCTTTGGTGCTGAACAAAGATGAATCTAATCGTATGGGTTACAAAGTCAGTTTGGAGAGCACAAATCGTTGACTGACCGCATGAGTTTCCTCCCGAAGACAATTGCATCGACATGGATTATTCCAAGAATGATGGTGCATTTTAATGAAGGGGTAGGTGATGACTTCTTCTTCCTTGTGGAGTAGGAGATGAGAAAGAGAGAGAGAGAGAGAGAGCGGGGTAGATGGGGGCTTTTGGAAGGACCAGACTCTGCCATGGAGAGGGTTAGGTGGAAGAATATGCATGAAGAATATTATCGATGCCAATGCTAACAACAACCCCTCCATGATGAGCATTCTTTCTCTGGGCTGGGCTATTTGGGCCGGTCTATGGCTTTACGGAGCCCAAACCTGCTGAGGCCGCAGTACTTCTGTGAGCCCAACCCAATAAAAAGGCCAGTTGGCGGAACGGAATTGGTCGGATTCCACGGAAGGCCCATGGCCTGATTCATTCCTTCCTCTTTTACCTTCCAGGCAAAGGGAAGGTGAGAGCACTCAACCTCCAATATTGACCTCCACTGGTGTCTTACCTCTTCGCTACCTCTTCTCCGCCGCTCATCAAGAACAAAGCAGGAGGTCAATAAAGGGTAGCGGCAGTGGTGGTGGAGACGACACGCCCACTCGTTGCATCAAAAGCTTGCGAGCTTTTGGTCGCAGCCTCGAGATACACCAGCTTCATGTATCATCAGGACAGTGTTCTAACGATCAATGATAACTGGCAAAGATATGGGAGTGGACCTCCATGAGCACGAGCAACTTGGGAATGACATGAACAGGGTGAAAGATCTAATTTGGGCTGCGTGGTTGACAACCTACAGACTTCTCGTAGCTCTCTCGAAGATGCGTGAGGCCATATCTAGATGTGCATAACGACCATAGGTGGAAAAGACTAGTCTCTGCTTCATCTACTCCTGTGGGGGCTAAAACTTGAACTCCATGTCTGGGCATCTGATGCCTGGAGGGCTGCTAGAAATTGAATGGAAAAGCTTGTTTGGATTCACTTTTCCTTCCCATATCTACTGTGGCTCACATGACGGGCATAAAGGTCAGGGGTGAGGGACCAACCTACATGATGCAATCTCAACCTCTCCTCTCACCGGTTTAGGTGAATCCTACTCCCATAATTCATCTGAAGGGAAGACGAAGAAGGGAGAGCTGAAGCCATTGTGAAGACATGGAAAGGGAAGGGCCGGCTGACTAGGCGTGGGGCCGGGGGGAGTACAAAGGGACCCCGCATGATTACGTCATCAGGTGCTTAAAAATAGTCCATCCTAGCTGTCCTTTGGATCATCATAAGGGAGAGAATTGGAAAGTGGTTTTTCTTTTATATATATATATATATATATATATATATATATATATATATATATATATATATATATATATATATATATATATTCCCCCGATAGTGAGAGATGAAATAGAGGAGGAGAAGAGAAGAGGAAGAGGGCGACGAGTGGGTGGCCCCCAATAATTGACGCCACGGCCCCATCGACGCCAAATAATTGGCGACCGCGACACCTCACATGCCCCCACTCGCCGCACACCATCTCATCTCCGCGGCTATCTTATCACGATAAGATATGACATGTATATCTCGTTCGGGATTCTCGTGTTTGCGTCGACAAATGGACACGTCGGATCGTAAGATAAAAAGGGCCCGAATCGTGAACGCTGTCTCGAGCAGGTCAAGTGGGTACGGCTTTCTCGCGTCGCTCTCATCCCACTCACCGTTGGGGCCCGCATCGCCATCATTCGCGAGTCATCGGACCTGGGTTAAAGGTAGCCGTCGATCATGATCAGGTTGCATCGAGATGTGATGTTACGGTGCATAGACGGACCGTCGGATCCCTTCGTTTGGGCCCCGTGGATGGCGGGTGTCAATTACTCGCCGACGAGTTGTTGGTGCTCAATTTATCGTCGACTTCAACTGATGACCAATAATTGGACTAAAGAAGACAAAATAAATATAGAAATTTTGAGATAATAATTTCGCAATAATGATATTTATATATAAATAATATGGGTTAAATAGAGCTTCGTTCAGTTCAAAATAAAAATGAAATAGAAAAGAAAATTCGAATAAAGAAGAGATTAAAAAAGAGTAAAAACAAAAAGGAAAAATAGAGGGCAAACGTGGACGCACGGGTGGAACGGACGGTCGTGATCAGTCTTCTACTCTCTTTTATTTCCCCCATTTCCCCCTCCTTTCCACGCCCCCTTCTTCTCCCTCTGCGGTTTTCTCGGCTCGCTCTCCTCCCTCCTTAGCTAACTGCCCCCTCCTCCTTCCACAGACAGCTCCTCATCTTCTTCATCGCTGGAGAGTGATGAATAGAGGAGGAGGAGGAGGAGGAGGAAGAGAGATGTTGCTGGGGAAGCGGCAGCGGCCTCCCATGAGGCGGACGACCAGCATGACCGAGTTCGCCGCCGACGTCGTCCTCACGGATGTCGAGGCCACGCAGGCTCCGTTCGACCATGAGAAGACTAGCGACGTCCTCCACCACCAGTGGAACCCGTGGATGGAGCCGCAGAGGGCGGCGGAGTTGCCCGCGCAGAGGAGGGCCTCCGGCGTCGCGAACTGGCTGGAGGCGCGGTACCATGGGAGCCTGGTGCTGTCGCCGCGTACTGGCGGGCACCGGAAGAACTCTGCCGACCTTGCCGTGGTGGAGACGGCGCCCTTCCTCAGGGCCTGCGGCCTCTGCAAACGCCGCCTTGGCCCCGGCCGGGACACGTTCATGTATAGGTACTGTTTCTGGTCCATCGATTTATATTTTTGCCCTAAAAATTCTTTTTTTATTGTTCTGGTTGATGTTTCTTGGTGAAAACTCGAGGACGAGCGTAACTGCACGCAGAGCTACTGCTGTCCATCATGCCTGCTTATCACCTCAAAATTCTCATCTTTCTTTAATGATTATTACGGGTTGACGATGATGTCCAAGTTGATGTATATTGCTGATAAAGTTTCTTCTTCTTTTTCATATCTTGGGGAAATTTAAACACAATTTCTTTGTTTATTTTTTCTCTGATTTATTCCTCGCCGTATCTTCTTCCATGAGGAATAACTATTTCGAGGTGCCGAGTTCATACACTATCTGGTTGGTGTGTGTTGTTGCTTGGTAAGCCTTTTGAAAGGCAAAGGTAGATAGATCCAAACATGTAGAGAAGAAGGCTTTCACCATCTCGTGCACCTCACTGCTCCTCTAGTTAAATCCCTTTCCATCAATGCAGTCTTTATTGTTCACCCAATTGTTGCAGTCTCAGTTGTCTTTCTTGTCGCCTTATGATTGAAATTTTCTTTTGCTTGCACAGGGGTGATATTGCATTTTGCAGCCTCGAATGCCGACAGCAGCACATAAATCTGGAGGAGCGCAAGGAGAAATGCTCTCTGACTTCCATCAAGGACGCTGTTCCTGCAGCCAACGGCTCCGAGAATGCTGGCAATGGCGAAACAGTGGCAGCTGCATGAGATTTAGAGTTACTCTGGGGTTCTCAAGTTCCACCATTGGAGATGCCACAAGGCAAAGCTTATAGATCTATTTGGGTCCTACGGTTTTGACGCAGCCGTGCTGTCAGTAGAGGGAAATATAATGTGAGCTTGATGCTTATGTAATTCCCAACCCCATATTTTTGGTTCTTATGAGAAGCAATGAAGGGGCTCTACACCACCACCATCTTCTTCTTCTTCTTCTTCTTCTTCTTCTTCTTCTTGTATTGTGGTCTGGAAAGGAAACAGCTTGTTGAATCAAAAAGTGGGAATCATGTGAGTCAGATGATGCCCCATCCTTTTCCAGTGATTCCTGCTAGACATTTACACACACATGAAAACAACTTCTACCTAAAATTGGAGCAAAGCAAATCTTCTTCCATTTGCAGGACCTGCACAGTGCTCGCATTTAGCTTTTCACTGGACTGAATCAGAATCAAGGTATAACTAGTTGCTGCGTATTGATGAATCATCTCTATGATGAAACCTCACTTCAACCCTGAATCATTGTGATGTTAGGCAACATGGCTAGTAATCGCAGACACAGTCATTGCAGAAGAAACCTTCCATGGTGTGGTCTGTCGGGGCCTACTTTCTGTATCGGCATTGTTCTCAGCTGTGACGTTGAATCTTAGGCTCACTTTCCTATGAGATCTGGAGGTGCAGCTTCTTCTCACCGTTCCAACTCCTCGGTCTGCATGCTCTGCACCAACTCACCGATCAACAATATTGCTGCAATGCGTATGGCGTACACAGTACAGATTCTAGATTTACAGATCTCTTTCCTCGTGGTGGTCCTATTATTTATGGCGAAGTAAGATCTAGCTGAGCAAAGATGTAGATTCCATCCGAGGCATACAAGCAAGATGACAACTGGGCTAAATTAACAAAGCTCCAATTGGCCTAATCTTGAGAAAGGGGAACTCAGTGGAGTTTACAGAACTATCATGGGGTGCTTTCAAAGGCATAGAATAATGGTTTCTCTCCTCTTGTCTGCTGATCAAAGCATATTCTGCACTTCAAAAACTCGGGGAGATTAAGCTACATGACATAAGATATTATGGATGGCATTAATGGCCACTATTCTATTGCTCTGTGACAAAAGATATTGTGGAATCTTGTACCAGGCCAGGGTGATTAAGCCAAAGTTTTGAGTGTCAGATATCCAATAGCTTTCGCTGCATAAGCTGTCTCCCTTTGCACATCACAGCTTGCCGTGGATTAGGAAGCCATGTAATTTTTTCTATTAACTTAATCCTGATTAGACTTCATCATTAAGCTTGTCTACTGTTACAAAAACTATAGCTTCTTCCTTTGGGTTTTATTGTAAGTTTCTTTTGCTGCTGCCAAGCTAATATCTTGTGTCACCACCCCATCTCCCACAAGGGATGCCCTAGTTGTGGGTGTCCCAAGGTCAGTAATGGATGGAGGAAGACCAAGAAAGATACTGGTACCACCATTCATTCAGTGTAAAATGGAGTTGTAGGATCTAGCTGTCCTGCAAATAATTGATCAAAAGCTGTTGGATTTGTGTTCTTTCTCACTATGTTGTTCTAGCAAGGACTAACACTCTTGTGCAGATTTTTCTCATCAACAGCACTGAGAACAGATATGAGATGATTTCACTGAACGAAGGTGTTTCTGACTGCAGAGCCAATTAACCTATGACCAACTGTTAGGTGATTCAACTCTCTAGCTTGAAGTCTCAAGCTTTTTAGGGCAGCAAGGTGAATGTGATCTCCTACATGAATCTTTCAACAGGTAGCAATAAATCTTGCATGATGGTAGGAGAAGTGTGGAAATCAAGCAGGGTGATCTTAATGCAAGAAACACTAGCCATGTGGTCCATCAGCTAACCATCATGCATGTCTCAAACAACATGAGCTGTGCTGATTGTGGTCCAGATAGATAGAGAAGATGGTGAGGGGAGATGGGAGGGGTGTGTGATACAGTCAAGGTGTTATTTTTGTATTCTAGTTGGTCCATGGGTTGGTCAATTGTTTCATCAGAATAGATTGATGACCAACCAAAACCAACTGAGAAAGGAGACAGCAGGATGAAACACAATGCCTCTTCTATTTGGTGTAGAGGCAACCAGTGCCGTGCTGATGTGGTGGGCAAACAGGAGCCTCAGGACAAGACTGCTGCCGACCTTCGATGCATGCAACCCTTCTCTGCTCAAAACCATCGAACCAGATGGCCATTAATGCATGACAAAGTGAGCCTGTGGAGCCTCCTGCTCCGAAGCCTGAACTACTTGATTGATCTCCATGGTTGATGCAGCTCGAAACCATCACTCCCTTTTTGTTAACTTGCACTGCTGAATTCCCAATGACAAGGTTTAGGATGAGCTGTGAATCTCAGCTAGGAGTAGCAGCCATGATGCCCTGTCTCAGGCCAACATGCTGTTTGTTAATGCTCAAGACAGATGATGCTGCTTGATGACATTGATGATCCCCACATGTTGAGGGTACCTAAAGAATCTTACACCCCAGCAATCTTATGAGTTGACACAGAAAAATGAAATCTCACTAAAACAGGATTAATATGTTGGGGAGATAGATCTCAAGATTAAGTGTGATAGATAGAAGGGGATGCAAGATGAACCTGGTAAGTTTCTTCTTATGATACCCACACATACATACATGCCTAATAACTGTAAGAAGATTGATTCCTATGTATATGTCGATTAAGAAGATTAGAACATGAAGTCCAAACAATTGAGACTTGGAGAAGTTATGTGCTAAGCAAAAAAAAAATAATATCCGACCTGCCGGATTCGAACCAGCGACCTAAGGATTTAACTGTAAGATTCACCCGACTACAGTCCTCCGCTCTACCAATTGAGCTAAGGTCGGTTTGTTGTCTAAGGGAGGAGTAGAATATATTTATTATCTTGTAGACCTTCTTCTGGTCTCCACAATCTCTAATCCATTAATTCGTCATTGGATACAGAAGAAAACAACAGTATTCGTGTATATAGAGACTGACAAAGGTCAGCATACGTAGTCTTACTCACTCCTACAGACACAAAGATTGTTTGGATTCCTTGTGGTTCATAGGAAGTTCCTTGGTTACCTGTCTCACGCACCAATCGTATATCTGTAGGCACAGTGGTTGTATATGTTAATGAAATGCGAGCCAATGTTGGAGTTCTCATTCTGCTTGGAAACTGACGTCAACGCACGTTCGCCGGAGCAGCATTGCCGTCGTACGTGTTGGTAGCGGCGCCTCCGTCGTCCACGGGCACGCTCGGGCAGCCGGCCATCCCCTGCACCTGCTCATGCGGCACCATCGTCGGCAAATCCGCCGGCCCCATCGGGTGCTGCCATGCAACCAAAACAGCGTCGTTTATACTCGGGGTGGGTGGGCCGGCCGGTCGTCCGTCCGTCGAGGAGGCGTACCTGAATCAGCGGGTAGGGCGGTGAGGGAATGAGGGCGGACAGGAACTCCGTGGAGGTGTACCCCTGGTGCCATGATGTATCGTGCTGGTTGCCGACGTGGCATCCAGCCGCGCCGGGGTCCAGCTGCAGGCCCATGCTCTGCGGCGCGATCGAGTCGTAGATCGCGTGTTCCCTGACACATCAGCATGCATCCGCCGTCAAAAGTCGATGCGTGTGTCCATCGCTCATGAGCGAGCAAAACCATTGTGAGTTGTACCTGAGGTCCATCAAAGGATCGGACCCAACGAAGATCTGGTGGCTGGGGTTCGACGCTCCCTCCGGGACCCACTGCACCATCTCGTTCCCGTATGGGTTGGGCAGTCGTTCCTGCTGCGGCTGCAGGTACATCTGAACAAGAATCGAAGCGTGGCACTTGCTTACATGCAAATATATCGAAGCGTGGGAAGAGATAAATGGGTGTGATGTTGGGCATGCTATTAATTACCTGCATGCTTGTAGTTGAGGGATCATACGGGGACAGATGATTACTCAGCAAATATTCCTGCAAGCGTAATAAATGAGAACCATTACTCCTCGGTAAACATTGCTCGTGAAAGGAAACAGCAAAGGAATGTGGACTGAACCTTTCTTGCCGTAACACGCTGCAATGCTTCCATGACGAACTTTTCGCATGACTCGAGATCAGTGATGGATGTGAAGCTAAGAGGATCAGGTTCAAAAAACCTGTTCATTCGGAAACAGCAAGGGGCCAATTCGATTACTCGGCAAAGGAGTGTGCCGATCAAGATCTTGTGAGTTGGGCAATACCTTAAGCGTTGCTCCATAAGCTGTAGCTGTTGTTGATACCGACAAATCTCCTGTTGAAGCTCCTGCATGTAGATAAGAGATAGGATTCAATCGAGTGGAGTGGAGTGGAGTGGAGTGGAGAAATAAAAAGAAAGAGAATACGAGTTGTTTACCTCTGCGTTGGAGTTGACCACCCCAGGACTGATTGAATCGGAGAAGACAACTCTGTGTTAGAACGAACCAGCAAGAAGTGAAAGGAAAACAAGGATTACATAGCATGAGAATTACTTGACGAGGGCAGCCGTGTCGTTCTCGCACTTGAGCTTTTTCAATGTGTTAATCACGAACTGCATGGATGGCAAGTGCACAACGCGTACGTGTATTACTCATATGATAGGGAGAAGTATGATAATCTAAGAGAGTTTTGAGATGTCTAACCTCTCGATTCTGGACCACCCTACATGCCAAAGCAAACAAATCAGTCTCATGCTCATCGAGAATGTTAACATGCAGGTAAGGTTTCTCGAAGATCGAAAAGGATTTATGGCTTACCCTCCCCTATCGTTCTCTGGGAGATTCACGTATCTAGCAAGTACGTCTTCGATCCTGAAAGAAAGAAGGAACAAATGTGTTCATGAATTGATATGTGTATTTGGACGTGATCAAAATAGAGGACCTTCTTCGTCCGGAGAAATGGCTGAGGCGTCCGGAGGGGGAGAACATGATGAGAGCGATGTCGATGTCGCACAGGACGGATAGCTCGTAGGCCTTCTTGATGAGGCCATTTCGACGCTTGGAGAAGGTCACCTGGCGATTGGTGTTGTTCTCTATCCTCTTTATCTGGAGCTTAACTCGACCCATGATCCAAGATAATCTGAGACACCAACAAAACAAGGAATTCCCGAGAAGGCCGCACGTCTCCAAGGGTGCCGTGACAGGAAAATAGCCCAGCAAATCAAAAAGAATACCAGAGAGAGAGAGAGAGAGAGAAGAGGGGGTGGCTTTGCGAGAGATGTGGCGAGAGGACGAAGGAGAGAGATTTTAGATGCTGTTCTGCCGGGAAGCATTCCTCCCCCACGACAACAACGGCTGGCTTCAAGCTGAGAACTTCTCTTTCGCTACCCGTTCGACCGCCACCCTTCTTGCACCACCACTGATTGGAGCAGCAGTAGCCTAAACGGGTCCCAAGTCCCAAGTAAACGAATCCAATCATAGTGCAGGTACGTCAGACGAGTAATCCTTCAGTGGTACAATATTATTTCCCTACATTAACAGCTAATATTATTCCTCTCTCCTCTTCCCTAATATAAATAATAAATGGGAATACATTAATTGTAATGAATTATATGTTTTAACTACGTTTATAAGATACATGATATCAATTTTGCCGTAATTTCGATCAAATTTACGAAAGCTATGCACTAACTTCACGCATGTCACTTCCATCACCAAATCATTCAAGATGCTGGCTTCCATTTCTCTCTCTCTCTCTCTCTCTCTCTCTATATATATATATATAACTCGATCTATTCGATTAATCTCCCTTATCTGCGCAAAAGATCATGCAACACATGGATTGATTCCACGGTATTTTCGCAATCTATTTCTAGCTAGACAGCAGCTGGAGAAGCTATAAGAAGCTGCGTTGAGCTCTCTTGTTCGACTTGTTCATAGCAAAGATGGCGACCACAGCACGCTTTTCTGGTGCTATTGCTGTTCTCGTCGTTCTCGGGAGCCTCTGTGGTCTTAGTCAACGTAAGTACGCATGCTTCGGCTGTGAGCATCTGCCACCGCGTCGTTCTCCGTTCGATGAGCTTTCTTCCTTGTTTGCCTTTTTCTGCAGTGGTGGTAGCGGAAGAAGTTCATCGGCTGGACGGTCAGCGCTCGGTTGTGGTCTCCGCGGACGAAGAGAAGGGGACCAAAATAGTCATCATTCCATGCGTGAAAAAGTGCCATGAGAATGACGAATATTGCTACTGTTGCATAGCTGCCAAACACCTACATTGTTATCAGCAACTGGAGCAGTGTCAAGCGAACTGCGAAAGGTGCGATCCCAAGTGTCCTCCCGCACCGCCGTCGATGGAGACGCGTCCATGACGATCATGGAGGACCGCCCTAGACTCTGTTACTCTGAGGGCCTTTGCTTTGGTCGATTCTGCTTTGTGTTAGCAACAGTTCTGACAATAAAATCTAAGAGAAGAAAACTTCTTGATGAAAAGCAGTGTTTAATTTTGATAACAGATAAGATTTCCTTAAGAAATCTCTCTACTTTGTTAAGAGAAATCTTCTAGTTTCAATAGCAGATAAGATTTCTTCAACTATACGAGTAAATCTCTCTGTTGAGGAAAATCCTCTATTCTGTTGAGGAAAATCCTTCCTTATAGGAGAGGGACATGTTAACGTAATTACTATAATAAAGTTTTTTCAATAATTATTCTTTATCTTCTATTCTTTCTATCAAGTTTCACGTGACATCGCCTGTTGCTTTTGATCTCTCGATTAAAGCGTCGAAGGCAACGTACTCATCTTGTTCAAGGTGAACATATGATCTGTAGGTCCAATCTGCACGATATTGCCTCTATGTTTCCACGTCCTTTGATAAGCTCAAATAGCTATTGTGTGAACAGTGTGGTAGCTGCTCTCTCCCTCTCTCAGTCTCCTGTTAGCTTCTCCTTTCCGCCCTTAACGATGCTTAAGGGTCTTTAAGAATTGTGTTTGTTCTAAGATGCTTGTTCTAAGTAGACTGGTACGTGTTCCGAGAGTACACCTGCATCCGTTACTGTCTTCATGTCTGCTTCGAAGACAGCAACGTACATGATTCTCGCGTGCATGCATGTGAAGACAGGTTTCAGTCGCAGAACCCAATGAATTCTTGGCCACCAACAAAATGGAAAATATTCTATATATACTCCACCCTCACTGCGATCAAGAAAGCAAACGAAGGAGAAAAAGATGACAATCTAAACGGAGAACGCAGGCGGCAGATCTGAAGCTGAAATCAGTCACTATGTCTGCTCTGAAACCCTATGGATGCGAGTGCAAGTGATCCCCACAGCTACATAATGGAGCAGGCATTCGGGTTGTCATCGCTGAATAGAGAGGTAAGCTGGTCCTCCGGCCTGACCACTTGGCTGGAGACTGCAATGACCTCCATATTCCTGACATACCCAGGGGGTGCCTTCTTGTCGTAGGTTGGGGCAACGTACGGGTGGGCAACCAGGTTGTAAGGAACGTAAGGCCAGAGCTCAGCCTTCTTCCCTGTGGATTGAACCCTCTTGATCACCTTGTGTGGCTCAACATAGCCCGTCACCGTCACCTTGTATTGCTTTCTGTTGATGTCCACCGACTGCACTCCTGGCAAGAACGGTGAGAACTGCATTAGAACATTGGTCGCACAGACAACCATCGGAGGAGAAGAAGATCGAACCTCTCATGGTGGAGAGCGCATTTCTAACTTTCAGCTCACAGCCCTCGCAGTCCATCCTGACCTTGAGCTCCACCGTCTGAAACTGCTTCCTCTTCTTGTGCCTGCGGCCACTTCCCAGAAAGTTGGAGAAGCATTCCAGGGTGCCTCCCATGGTGCTTCTTTACAGCTGCTAGTTGGAGGCAGAGAGGTACCAAGAGCTTAAAGGAAAAGCTAGAATGGATGGTGATGATAGAAAGCTTTGGGAGCTGTTGTATATTTGATCGGGAAAAATGGAAAGACAGGCTGCTGCTTTGCCTCCCGGCAATCACAAAGAAGGTCCCTGAAAAGGACCAGACACAGGTCTTCGTCGAAACGGAAACTACACTTGACGTGATCTCTAGGCAGCAGAGGAGAAAAGATCGAGCTCGATGAGTGGTGTCACCAGAAAAATAGCCGAAGAAGAAGAAGGAGAAGAAAAGAGAGAACCTCAACAAGATAGTTCATACGGCTAGCTCTTGATGTTGGTTCGTCCTCAGAGGACAAAGGAAGCTGCCATAGATGCCTTTCCTTGGCTGCAAGTTTGTTTCACATCGGCCCCTCCTTATATAGGCACCACCCACCGAAAAGACTCCTCTCACCAACCATAGGTTCCACTGCAACAGTGCACGCACAGTGTGTTTATTCTTGGGTTTGTGACCCTCCGTGACAGTGGAGATCCTCAGTCGTTTAGCTACAAGAAAGCTCTTGGAACTGTAAAAACCCTCGGAAGAATTCATCCAAAAGCACCCCCTCCCCATGCCCTGCATAGAAAACAGAAGGTAATAGCCGTGTGGTCCTTGCCAAGGACCATGTGGTCGCTCTGCGTCCATGCCATCAGCTCTCCGGAAGGTGACTGCTGCCCAACGCCTGTCGTTGTTTGTCCGATGGCACCTTTCCCTCAGGTCTTCGAAGCATGGAATTTTCCATGTCCATACATCATCATAGAAGTAGGGAGTGGATTTGTCAGTGTAAGCTGTCGACAAGCTGCCATGGCAGGCAACGATGTTCTGTAAACATATTGAACCACATCTCTGGTCGTGCAGAAACTTCAGGGAAACCAAGTCCTCAGGATCATTTGTGTAGGCATCATCATGTCATATGTAATTAAATATCTCGGTCACTGGAGATCTCCTGCTGCAATTCTTCTGATGCATTGACTGTTGCCTGTACCATTTTGCTGTGTGCAGGTGCTTTCGCTGTGTGCTTTCAGTGTGCAGAGTTTTGACCATACGCGAACGAGTGGAAGATTCTCAAAGCAGAGGCCAGAAAGCTGGGCTCACGAGAAAGGTGGCATCACCATTAATGGATTAAGAATATAATGTCGCCACCTTTTGCTTTGACTCGGGGCTTTCTTGATCTCCTCACAAAAGATTTCGGCAAGATGCCACACGCTGCATCTAGTTCAATCTTTCTTTGATGCATGAAAGCCTTCGTCTTCAAGGAAGTTGTTCCAGCTGCGTCCAACGCCGGCCACAAGTTGTGGTTCTTCCTAAAGCTTGGAATATTAGAACATGGCCTTAAACTCCTTCACTTCATCTTCTACTAGCACTTGAAATGCTTTCTTTCTGTCAAATTATCGACAGATAGTGAGGTGAAATGATCTTCTTCACGACAGGAGCATTATAAAAGCAGCAACAGAGTCGAAAGCTCATGGCAACTCATTCATAGCTGTCGAAGAACATTGCAACTGAATGCCTGCGGAAACCATGGCTGCTAAGTTGACGAGAACATGGCCTTGGACGCGGAGACACAAGGCACAAAGCTATAAGATGGACCTCACACCACAGGTGGTAGGCCTATGTATGATCCAATCATTGAACGGCAAATGCAATCATTGATACTGCCATCTCACAGCAAACTGATTTCATATCTCACAATTCAGGTAGAAAGATTACACTAGGAAACCTGAACCATGTAATAAAAGAATGAAGAGACGAATGCCTGATGAGACAGGAGATTAGTGGCATGGATATGACCCATCTACAATGAAATAATTTCATACACCTCAATAGATCTGCAAAACTCATGAGATATAGTTCTTGGTTCATGATATTATACTCATTAGAGATATCTCCTCATTCTTCTGTCCACAGGAATTCACACTGTTCCAGTGCATCCATGAAACTTCTACTGACTGTTGCTGCTTGCTGCAGTACCTCTTGATCTTTCTATTCTCAACCTGTCTTGCTCTTTTTCTTTTCTGGAAGTTTCCTGGCTTGATTTTAAGGATCTCACACCTTATAGAAGAAGATTTGCAACCCAAAATTTTGACTAGGGATGGTAGCATCAACTCAGGTTAAATTCATTCAGCATCCCAAGAGCACCTATTGTTATGTTGCCTTTCTGAAATGCATAATAGTCGGTACATCACCAGCCAGAGAGAAGCAAAAGATTGATGCTAAATGTGAACATGCATGTTTTTGCTAAAAGAATTATATTCAAATGGAATGGCATTCGGATTACAAAAGCTTATATCACCGGAATATCAAGTCTCTGAGGAACATCAAGATCGCGACACTTGCATCTCCTACTCTGATCATGGTTCCAGAATAAAAACTTGTACTGTTTCATGTACACATTTTTCATGAAAACAAAGCTTACTGTAGTTAGCTGGATCCTCACACATGATAAACAATTACACAATATACTATATCAAGACCTGGAGTACCGCAAGATCTAGTTCGACTTGATGTCGTCTCCTTGCCCCAGCTTGCATGGATAACCAGTCAGTGCATCTCTGGGTATTCAACATCATAGTGTTGTGCCAAAATGATTCCGAGATAATTTCTGCACATGCACTCTATCCTTTCAGAGAGAGCCATCATGTTTCTTATGATTGTGCAGCTTATCGTGGCATTCTCAGCTACACGGAAAATCAACTTGACACTATGCAAGAAGTTGGAGGGCTTTCTAATTGCCACTTGACATCTCCACATGCGCCAAAAACTGTCGCAAGGACATAATCATCTATGTATAATCCCTCTTCTTGCATTCGGTACATAAACTTTAAAGCTTCCTGGCAAAGCCCGTTTTTAGCATAACCAATGACCATCATCTTCCAAGAAACCAGATTCCGTTCTTGCATGGTATCAAAGACTCTCAAAGCATCTGAAGTGCAGCCACACCTCATGTACATATCAATCAGTGCACTGCCCACAAACACATTTGACAGACTGCTGGTCTTACTCACACAGGCATGGAGCCATTTACCAGAAGTGATAGCTTCCAGCTTCGAACAGGCTTTTAAAGCAGAAGAATATGTGAAGGGGTTTGGTTCCACACCTTCCAATAACATATCATTCAAGAATTCCAGTGCCTCTGAGCCATGGCCAAGACTGGTGAGACCCGAGATAATTGCAGTCCATGAAATGACATCTTTTGCTGGCATAGCTTCTAAAACTCTTGCAGCGTAAGCATACTCCCCGTATTTACAATAGAACCAAATGAGCGTGCTCCCAATGTGAATGTTTCCAATGTCGGAATTCTTTATTATCTGTGCATGAACTTCTTTTCCAAGACATAAAGATCCTATGGAACCACAAGCACTAAGAATACTAACGACGGTAAGATTGTTAGCAAATACACGGCGCCTCTTCATCCTTCGAAATAAAAGAATGGCCTCCTCTCCGAGGCCACAACGTGAATAACCAGATATTAACGAAGTCCATGTGATTGTGTTTCTCTTCGGCATCATATCGAAGACTGTTCTAGCATCCAACACCTCATCACACCTTGCATACATGTTAACCAGAGAACTCCCAACATACACATCTTCTTTGAACTTTTTCTTCACTATAGCACCATGCAGCTGCTTCCCAAACCTCAACTCCTTCAGTTCTCCACAAGCCTTCAGGATACTACAAACAGTGAACTCATTTGGAGAAAAACCCAGGTGCTGCATCTCCTGAAACATCGACAATGCTTCATATCCATGCCCACGTTGCACGTGAGCCGTGATCATGGTAGTCCAAGTAACAACATCCTTGGAGGACATCCTAGCAAACACTCTAGAAGAACCGAGAAGATCACCGCACTCTGCATAAAAGTACACAAGTGCGCTGTCTACAATCTTGTTGCTCCAATTCCCTTTGACAACACAAGAATGAATCTGTCTCCCAAGTTCAAATTCCAATAAATTACCACATGACTTCAACAAGCAAACATACGTCAAGCTATTAGCCTCGACATGGCTTTCGATCAGTGCCTCGAACAGACGCAGAACTTCGTCGTCAAGGCCCATCTTAAGACACCCACTGATCATGGCCGTCCAAGAAACGACATTCCTTCTGGGCATTCCATCGAACAGCTTCCTGGCTGCGACCAGCTCACGGAATCTCACGTAAGCACTAATCAGGTTGTTAACGACGAACGTAACAGAGGCATCGGACGACCTGACGGCGGCCGCGTGCAAGCACTTGACAGCCTTCAAGTTGGAGCACGAGAGGAGGAGGGAAGAAAGCGTTCCGTGATCGAACCTGCGAACGACGGCGGCACCCCGCGAGCTGTCATCTGGGTCACGGGCGGCGGAATAAAAAGAGTCGGGGATTGGTTCGACGTCGGCGGCAAAAGAAGGGATTTCGGTGAGAAGACGTAACGATTTAAGCGGCAAGCTGTGCCGGCTACTCCTCTGAGAGGTGCTGCAACTTGCTGTGCGCTTGGTGGGGAGAAGAGGGTGCGGGTGGAGGAGGATGTGATAAGGTTGGAACAGAGGGATTTCTAGGGAGGGAGATGACAGCAGCATCGCTGGCGGGGTTTGCTCCGACACAAATTTGGCGCTCGACGGAGGAGAGTATTGGGAAGAGAAAAGAAGGATACACTACAACTGAATCAAACGAAGGCACAACATATATATATATATATATATATATATATATATATATATATATATATATGTAAATAAGGATTTGACAGTTTCTTTAACGGGCTTAATCCAGTCCAGCCCAGCCCAGCCCATCGATCTCTCGAGAACGCGTCCACGTCTCCTTGTCTAATCCAACTAAAACTTGTGCTGACTTTATTTGCCAGGTCACCAATCAGGTTCGAATGCCACCGTCATCGTCTCGATCTCTCGATACGTTTCCACCGCCATCCTCTCCGCTGCTCGCAACTTTACCTTCTCCATCGGCCCGCAGCCATGTTGTCCGTGCTTGTGGATGTCGTCTTCTTGGTGTTGCTGCTGAGACTGCTGGTTCTTCTCTTCTCCATGCGGTTCCTGCACCTGCTGCTGCTTTACCTGCTGATCTGCCTGGTGTCCATGATGGCTTCCGCCTCGTTTCCCCTGAAGTAGGCAGGACCTCCGTTTCCAGATGCTGATGATTCTGCAGAGAGACAGAGAGAGAGAGAGAGAGAGAGAGTGAGTGAAGGTAGGCTGATGAGACATCTGCCCTCTTTGTTGTTTAATGCTTAGCATGCGGTCTCTGTGGCTGTTGTCAGTGGGAAACGCTCCATTTATGGTCGTTTATTCTGAATGAATTCTCCATACACGATCTATAGTCTATCACTCGAGCTGTGGCATAGACGATTTGAGATCATCAAAGTTATGATCTGCTAGTGAGGCGAGGCGTAACATCGAACACTCGACGGCAAATGAGTTGATGATGTACTCGACATCATCAAAATAAGCTCGATCTCCCCAAAAGAAATCTCCAAACAAAACCCACAGCAAAAAAAATTAGAATCCGGGATTTGAACCCGACGTGAATCGAACACGCAACCTTCTGATCTGGAGTCAGACGCGCTACCATTGCGCCACGGATCCTTCGGTGAAGGAAGTGTCAATCTTACGTATATTTATAATATAATTATCATATTTCTCGATAAATATGAAATGATCATATAAAACATTTTAGATTTTCCAGGAAAAACATACGATACTTTTATGGAATGTATCAGATGACCCAATCATATCAAACATATCTCATGTACTGAGTCCTTCATTCACGCCAACACCTGAGCTCATCTCACTCCGATTTCCCCACCTCATTAACTGCAAACCTTTCATTGGCCCCATTTCAATCCACTTCCAAACGATAGCATTTAACTCATCATATCTCATCCTCGGGCCACACATGAAGAAGACACAACAGAGCCTTCCGCTCATATGGCAGCGCCATTTATGAGGGCCTGCCTTCGCATCCAACACGCACCTGCCATTTTCTCCTCTCTTGCCATGAAAAAGCTTCTGATGATCCATCGTGGATCATGTGAAGAACGTCAAGATCACAGTCACCAGTCATTCAAGTCCCTTCCCAGTTGTGTCTTGATTCAGAGCTTATATGATACCGCTCTCCTGATGTCTCATTGACTCACTCCATCGCAATCGCTGGCATGAAGAAGCGCACTCCATCTTGGGGGGTGTGCCTTCTTGGTGCTCTCTTCTTGCTCTCGACCGTGTGCGCAGGGCTACGGCCGAATCCAGGTAAAGCGTCGCAGGCTGCTCTATTCTTCTTCGCGTTCTTCCTCTGGTTAGAGACCGTGTTGCTTTCCGCAGATGCCATGACGGCAGCCTCCGATGACAGAGACAACCGAAGAAAAGCACAAGATGATCTGATATCGAAGGTATCATGCCTGCCGTAATGTCCACTGTCTCCCTCTCTGTTTGTTGGCATTTGGTGCTTCCGCAGAGAGATCTAATGGTGACGATGTTGTTCATGGTTGGCACGCAGGAAACCGGAGGAGATGGGATCCTCAAAGGACTCTACGCGACGGGTTCGAGCTTGCCGGACTGCTCGCACGCATGCGGGCCGTGCGTCCCGTGCAAAAGGGTGATGGTGATCTTCAAGTGCTCTCTCGCCGAGTCCTGCCCCGTCGGCTACCGATGCACCTGCGACGGCAAATACTACCATGTTCCTTCCAACTGATCGACACACACAGCTCTCCATGAATCCCCCATCTGCGCGGTGTAGCCAAGCTTCTCCGATGAACCCTGAGACATTGGCGGAGTAGGAATTCCTGCTGCATGTCTCTGCTCTTCCATGTTGGTGTCTACATATGGAGCGTCGTGTAGCCTTCAGTACAAGATTCAGATATGAAGGACCAAAAGTATACATGCACTGTACTGCGTAATCTTCGCCACCGAGAACGGATCTGTTAGCGTCGAGGCCACTCTGCGTCTGTGCAAGTTGCTGTATTATTCTAAACAAGAACAAGAAATCGAATGCTTGAAGCGAAGCTGCTGCAGTCATTGAATCATCAGAAACGCTCCATCGATTGGTAGGATCAATAGCTATTTCGATCCGGCTTAAATACGAGACTTTTTACAGCATTCTCACCACGACTTCGTACAGAACATAAATACGAGACTTTTTAGTCTCACGTTAGTTGGGGTGTATGAAACCAAAGATTCATAAGTCGTCATGTCTCTCTTATCTTCAAATATATTTTTTAGAATTTACATGTTTCGAAAGAGTCTACGCATCAATGACCAAATGACCAAATGATATCTTATCATATTAGCACTATGGTTGGTCCGCTATGTCTCCCTTACCTTCAGAGGTATTTCTTGAAGCTCACATGCTCCGAAAGAATAAAATCGTTTACATGTTCATATACAAGAGACCAGAGTAGATCAACTTGAATTGATGGGATAGAATTGATAGGATATTTATATGTTATTTTATAAATTATCTTGATAGTAGTAAGTCCACTTTATATTATATATTTATGTTAGTTAAAGTTATATTTTTTTTAAAAGAGCACAAAGCAATCACTTATTACATCATAAATAATAAAAGATAAATTTATGATATATTTTGAGATTATAGATCAAGTTTTATGATTATAGAATTTAATCTCAAAACATAGTGTGGTCAATTGAATTATAATATCGTTGAAGATATTTTATAATAACACAATGACAATTTTTTTCTAAGAATGATAATTATTTTAATTGTTCAAAGCACGTCAAAATAAAGTATATATTGTTAGAGAAAGGTCTAAAAACAACATGTGTTAGTTGATACGTTAAGCACCACCCTTAATGATCACCGATCAATTTACTAAAGTTTTATAATCTAAAGTATTTAAATAATATATTTTTAGAATGAGATTTGTGAACAAAGTCATAAAGGATATGATAATTCATATTTAAATGGATATTATTATTGATAATTTTTTCTACTTAATTAAAGTTATTTATTTCTGTTATCATATTTATATTTATTTTATGATATGCTAATAGGATTGTCTTAACAATATAAATTACATAGGTCATTATGAATTATATTAGGAAATGTTAATAGTATTATGATATATAAAGGAGAGTATAATATTGATGTCATATAACCATTACGTATTGATAGTTGGATTTCACATAGTATTATTATACCTATTAGCTTATTTTAAAATCCATGATCATGTATAAAATATTTTTCAAAAATTTTAAAATCTAATTAGATAAAATTATTTTCAAATAAAATTTTATTTTATTTATTTTAATTTTAAATTTCTTTTATGTCTCACCAATTAATGGTCCAAGTGACAGTGTTAAATTATTTGGCTATGTCAAATTATATAAGATATATTATAGATTTGAATATATTCTATGATAATTATTAGTTAATAGAAAGAAAGTTTAATTATGATAAAATTATTTAATAGATAATCTTAATTATTTAAGAGATAATCTTAATAAGAGATATTCTTCTAATTAACATTCTAAATTTTTTACTCTTATTTATTAAAAAAAAATTTCCCAAACAAGAGATTATAGGTTTATTCTTAATCTCTCTTAATCTCTAATGTATTGCATACAACGATCCTCTAAATGATGATGTTCTTGTAGATCAGTTAAAGATTTTCTAAATAACATCAAAAATAAATATTATAAATTTAATTTATCATTATTTGATCTTAGATATTAAAATTTTTTATGTAATAATAATAAAATCATGATTTTGATAGTTACATGTTCTTGCTTGCGCTATATTGCCGGGGTGCAAGACACCAACTTCGCCGGAGAAGCTGGGTCAATGCCGTCGAAGGGTTTCGAGGCTGGGTCGCGTTCTTTGTCGGAGAAGCTACAAGAGGTGATCAACGTATTCGACCATGAATAATCTGCTCGGTTGTGGAAGCCCTGTCGCCGCCATCGCTCGACACAGTTTTGATCACCACGATCGAGAGCAAGCACACAAAATCTAGACCATTTTGCGCTGCTCCAAATTTTTTTCTGGGTCAGTTCAGCTTCCGGTCATCGTGCGATCACACACCGGCATGCGTTCTTTAACTCAAAATTCTGGTCACCTCCGTTTATACCAAGGACGTTGGAAGTGGGGCGTTTTGGCCCCAGTTGATCGTCCTGGTCACCGTCGTACGCGGTAAGCTCGTTCCTCGATAGTCTGGTCACCGATGTGACACTAAGAAACCAAAATTTGGACGATTTTACACCGGTTAAAGTTTTTTGGGCCACCTTATCATCGGTTTAATATGCGGTAAGCTCACTGACATTTCTCCTTGCGATTCTGATCACCGCCATTTCTTCCTTGAAATTTGTTTTGGTATCATCAGTTTATAATGCTGTAAGCTGACCGACTTAGGATTCTGATCCCACATTCTGGTCACCGGTAGTGAGTCTAAGAAACCAAAATTTGGACGATTTTACACCGTTTAAATTTTTTTTGGGCCACCTTATCATCCGTTTAACATGCGGTAAGCTCACCGGATTTCTTCCTTACGATTCTGATTACCGACACCGCGTGACACCTGCATGCGCTGCCGTGTCTTCTTACGTCCTCCTGACGGCACGTACGACGCATGATGTGTTCTCGTTCACACGCTGCGTCCTCTCCGAGTTGGACGCCATGGCGAACAGGTAGACTTCGTGAACCCTTCCCCAGGAAAAGGATGGTCATCGCATTGCAGGAACTCTGTTGCCATTGCGAGTACAACGATAAGTTCTCGTTGTCTTTTTGACTCGACGAGATCGATCTGTGACGTCCGAGCGTCGATCCGTCAGCTTCATGCTGCCTTCTGTCCCCAGCCTCTGCTTTTTGGTGGGGGCAAAAAGGGTCGATCAGAACTCGTCCTCCCTTCTCAAGCATCAACTCCGCGTTTGTGTGATGGGATACCATGTCGGCCCGGCCATGCAAGCATCTTCCTTTACATGATTGACTTCAATCCCAGCAATAATTGAGGGGGGTGGGGGGAGGAGCTGCTGCTGCATGCCGTCTGTCATTGCTTCGAGTTTATCTCACGTTCGTTGCCTGCTGCTTCAGCTTCAGTGAAAAGATGCGGCCACTCTGTTCCAACACCAGCGAGTCCCAGTGCCGAGTTCATGCACTTCAAATCCCCATCTCTTCAGCACGAAATCGACTACATTCATGGCTGCACCTACCACGGTGCGCCATAAGACTGTGTGGCCTGCAATGCTATGTTTCCTTTGAATGTATAACTTGATTGAGACAGGGATCGAAATGGCGAACTCTGCTTCTTCATATGTAACAAGAAGTGTTTCTGTAGACTCATTCCTTCGTTGCTTCTTCATGCTTTCGTTGTCTCAATCCTACCTAACCCCATTCCTTAAAGAAGTCATATTTCTATTACTTCCAATGTGTTCGACGAAATAACCCTTGTACGATGAAGTCATGCTCCCGTTGTTCGCGGTGTTCTACGACGAAAGCCCACCCAATTTTGAACTCCAAGATCTAATCTGATGCCCCACATCGTGCTTCCTATTCTTCTTCCATGTTTATCTACCCCAAGATAAACAAAGACCGATCAACATTTGTTTCGAAGCAAGAACTGGGGGCGGTCAATTCATCGAACATGTTGGCAGTGCTGTACGATAGAAAAAGAAATCCGAAAGGCTTCGGAAACAAAGACCGAGAAGTAAACCCACCGTTTCTTCTTCCGGAGATTTTGATTCCTAGAGGGATGCACAGTGGACGAGGTCGCGGTCATCACTTGCAGACAACCATGCCTTCTTGCTTGGGTATGCATATGTTCATACCAGCTTTGACCTTGTCCCGTCAACTTCGATGAAGGTAGGCAAAAGGCGAAAGGTCCGTAAAAGATGGAACTGAGAGAGAATGGAAGAAGTCGCTCCATAGATTGATTCCATTGTGCGCGTAAGAGCAGCGAGGTTGGACTACTCGGTTGCTGATGCCACCGATGGTTAAGTGCACGCATTGACGACTGCGAAGACTCGATAAAGCTCACACGAGCAGGAACTCGTTGTCTCGGCTGTTGGATCTCGTATCCAACGACAGATACTACTCCATCTTTGAGGACGTGGAATGGCGCCGTGGATATTCTCTCTTCTTATCTGAGTTCGTCTATATAAGAGGTCGAGGGATTAAGATTGTTCCATCATAAATCTCTCATTCTTCCTCTCTTGTAGCGCATGTTGGATCGAGATCGAGGGTGTCTGAGCCGCGAGAAGAGGGATCTATTTGATCAGGTAACACCGGGTTGCAAGCTGCCTCTTTCATCCTCGCTTCCTTGCCATTGCTTGACGTTGTTATCGGTAGAGAATGGGGTTCTTGATGGAGGATGTTCCTGAGGAGTTGCTGGTCGATATCGTCAATAGATTGGAGCAAACTGCGGACAGGAATTCGGTTTCCCTCGCCTGCAAGCGCCTCTGCGCGATCGATGGAGAACAAAGGCACTTCTTAAAGGTCGGGAGCGGAGTGCATGCCGCGACCGAAGCCTTGACCTCGCTCTGCATGCGCTTCCCCAACATCAAGAAGCTCGAAATCGACTCCTCTGGTCGGAAGTCGAACCCGGCGAAGCAATTAGCCAACGGTGGCCTCCTTCTGCTCCCTTCTTGTTGCCCGTCGCTGACGGAACTCACTCTGAGCTTCTGTTCATCCATCGACGATTCCGGCCTCGCCTTCCTCGCGTCGTGCCCGAATCTCAGATCCGTCGAGCTCAATTTTGCACCAGCAATCACTTGTGCTGGGATTCTATCGCTCGTCGTTGGGTGCAAGAATCTGTCCGCTCTTCATCTCAATCGCTGCAACAAAGTGAGCAGTGACGAATGGCTGGAGTACCTCGGCAAGTTTGGGAAGCTGGAGGACCTCTCGATCAAGAACTGCAGGGGTATCAGCGAGGACGATCTCATCAAACTGGGGCCTGGGTGGAGCAATCTGAAGCGATTGGAGGTCGAGGTGGACGCGTGCCACAGGCAGTCCAAGGTCTACGAGAGATCATCGGTGGACAAATGGGCGAGGCATCAGAGCCGCTACAAGAATCTGCAGGAGCTGCGGTTGGTCAACTGCAGCGTAGCTCCGGGGAGAGGGCTGTCGTGCTTGTTGGGGGGATGCGAGGCTCTGGAGAGGCTTCGCTTGGACATGTGCGTGGGGGTGAAGGACAGCGACATGGTGGCATTGGCCTTGAAGTCGAAGAACCTGAGAAGCATCTCGATTGGCCTCCATCCCCAGTACATGGCGCCTGTGCTGCTGAGCAATCCATTGAGATTGACCGACGAGAGCCTGAGGGCAATAGCCGCGGGGTGTTCGAAGCTGGAAGCCTTGGAGCTATCCTTCTCGGATGGGGAGTTCCCATCCTTGTCGTCTTGCTTCAGCCAGGGCGGCGTCCTGGCGATGATCCAGAGCTGTCCGATTCGTGTTCTGGCACTGGATGCTGCTTGCTTCTTCGACGACGGTGGGATGGAAGCCCTCGGTCGTGCTCCCTACCTGCAGACGCTGAAGCTTGCCGAGTGCCAGGGAGTGACAGATGTGGGGATGCAGCAGCTCCTCCGACGCTTTCCACGCCTAACCAGTCTGGAGCTCCGTAAATGCGTGGGGGTGACGGACTTGGGGTTGAAGCCGCTGATTGGTTCATGCAAACTGGAGTCACTGACGGTGCAAGGCTGCTCTCGGATATCGGAGGAAGGTGTCCGAGGGGCTGCAAGGACTGTCTCTTACGAGCAGGATTCGCCATGGATCCATTGAAGAATCAACATCAGGTGCTCGGTTCAACGGCAAGGAGCAAAGACTGAGGCATCAAAGGCGACACCATTGACTGCGCCACTCGAAGCGAGCTGTACATTGAAGTGGTACTACTTTGTATCTTTAGGCTTAGTGTTGCGGATCATAGGGGTAGTGCCAACAGGAAATTGTTTGTTTTCATTTAAATTCATTGTGGCTTTAATGCGAAAAAAGGTTCTTTTCCTCTCAACTTTTTTTTAAAGCAGTTCTTTTCTCTCAACTTTGTAGCATCCAACAAAATAAGCAGTGGTGGTTGCTGTGAGCCAAAGTGCATGACCTCTTTCATACCTAATTGATGGTCAAGTCCATGACAGCCACTTTCATGCTCGACTGCTTTTATCATTGCCTGGGCACAATCTTATCCACAACGATGCCATACATCAATTCATTCTCTAAAGATGTGCTAATCATCCATATGCTCAAGTCCAATATACTTAACAATTAACAACAGACTCAACATACTTCAGCTCGAATTAATAAATAATAATATACTAATGAACTTATTTGGGCTCCAAAGAGTAACTTCTAACAATTACCTACAATTTATTACATATAAAGAGTAACCTAGCAATAAGTTCCGAGCCGAACATAAAATAGACCATTAGACAAAGCTTACTTCTCCTTTTGTCTATTAGTGCACTGGCAGCACTATGTACTGAACGATGACAATGTTTGCAGATAATGGTACATTCAACTTAATTAATTTGGGCCATCTTCACTAATTACACATATTTCTATAGGCAATACTGCCAATTGTACATGCAAGAATATTCCTCGAGGTCTTGCTAGTGTTAGATAATGTGATCTAAACCAGATTTAGTCTCAGACCAGTCCGGTGCTGCCAAACAGACTTCCAATGAAGAGACCAATGATGGATCGCCGGCCAAATATTGTAATGTATAAAATCTTCCAAGGGATTTACTAATTTTCAACAGCATTTCTAACAAAAGGGAACCGATCAGCCCAATCACAATACGCTGCAAGGAGGAACAAAAAATGCACCTTGTAAAACAACCTTTAATTTGGAGACAAAACCTAATAAAGTAGCACCAACTGTACAGTCCGAACAAGAAACATCAAGATATATATGTAAAATATAAAGGCAAAACAAACTATTAGCTAAATCAAATGTTCAAGGTATATCTGTAGAATAAAGATAAAACTAATTAATAGTTAAATTAAATGTTCAACAAACCTGAAATAATGATTTGATGAAGATCTGACTGGTCTTTAAAATCCTCGCTCATCTCACCCTGCACCAATTCAAATAGGATATGAAAGCACTTCTCAAATTAAACAATGATATCAAGATCAACAAAAATACCCTACAACTGAACCTGGTTTAAACTTCTGACAATGAGATGAGACAACTTCTCAAAAGAGCTCTGATCGAAATTCCATTGGTTTAGAAGAGATTCCTCAGATGTTAAATCAAACACCAATGAGCAAATGCTTGAAGCCATCATCACGACAGATGGATCCTTGCAGTTCTCTTACGAGTGCAAAAGGAGGTAAAAGAATCATATCACATAATGTTTATAGATATAATAAAAAGAAATAAAAATCAATTCTTAGCATAAGCCATATGAACATTTCCGCATGAACATAAAAGGTAAAAACAAAATATTATATTGTACAAATTCATTCAGTATTCTAAGTAACGATATAGTAACTACCCACTCAAATCCCAGTAGATAACATCATTTTTTTATGTCAACAGGAGAATTAACACAATTATTTAGAAGGAATACTAGTAGAAGCAAATGAACCAGTTTTAGTATCTGCGGATGGACAAAAGTTGCTCAATAGCAATCAAGATGCATCCTATGCTCGAATTTGAGCTCCAAAATGGATCTATCTGGAGTATGAACTACATCCATCACTTATTTTCTAAATGAATAAATTGGCAACGATGAGAATACAACGGGTGTAAATTTAAAAATTGCATTATCCAATTAGCAAGAAAAAGAGGAAAGAATAAAGTTACATATGTTCTTTTTGAGGGTTTATGGGGTACATATGTATTTGAATGGCTTTTCACAATCATTAACGGTTTTAACATTTTGGGAATGCTAACTCGAACAGATGAACTGGATTAGTAGGTTGCTTGGATTGTTTCGCATTTATAGGTTCCATGTTTTTCTTTTCTGTGTTAGCATAGCACACTGAAACCTTGTGATAATAAACTCCGTTGGTTCACCAATAGTTTATATTATGAGTCATATTACATGATAGGGCTGAAGAAAGTACCAGTCCAAAAGATCAATGCATGTAACAGATTGACAAATTGAGACCCCTCTATCCAAACTTCAAGTTCCTTTCGCTGTGTCAGGATAACCCCAAAAATCATTAAAGTTGACAAACTGAAAATATAACCATGACTAATTACAAGTGATAACTAGAGGTGCAAAGTTACTTACATTTAACAGGAGATTAAGGATGGTGTCACAAGCCAAAAGCACTCTATCGCTAATATTAACCATCTTGCCATTTCTTCCAACCATGTTCACAAGGCATTCCACTATCTGATAATGTCAAGAGAAATATGATTTATCTCCAGAGTATTAAACTGAAAATGACAGCAAAGCAATATTATCTCATTGTTCAGATGGTCAGAATTACATCTCATGTACAGAGTACTAATTTTACAATGACAGTAAAAAACAACACTGGTCTCATTGTTCAGGTAGATCTACATGTTAAAGGCTTAGATAATCATACATGTAAACTATGCATACAAAATAACCAAAACGTGTAAGCCGACATGAAAAGTGTAGAATGTACTGCAGGTTGCCAATAAACTACTTATAATTAGGTCTGAAGAGGATTTCGATATTTGTGGTGGTATTACATGGTTACATACAACAGTAGACAACAATGCTCCAAATGTGAATTAAAACACCATTTCATTGTCACACAATATGAGAAAACACACATGCATATTTTGTTGATCTCTTGAAATTTCTATGGCACATCAGTAATGTCAGTAGTAATTCTACTGTAAATAAATGAGACAGATTTCTATGGATCAACATATTCAAGCAAGAGCAACACTTGTAATTAGCACATGAACTCACTATGATTGAAGAACTAGGAGTGAAGTGAAGGCCAGAACATCAATCATAGAAACAAATAGAAATTAACATACAATAACGATGGTTAGATCCATACAGGATGAAACTGCATCTGTGATAACAATCATCACACGTAAAAGTGGCCAGCTACAAAATAACTCATCATTTAGTCAATTAGTGTCAATGTTAAATACATCGAAGATCCAAAAGAATCTTAAATGTAGAACCTCTAACAAGAGTAAGATGTAGAAACATCACAATCATAATTATATAAGAAGTTTAAGAAGTTGCTTTTAAATTTATTAAAAATACAAAAAATTGTAAACAAAATATTACAAAAATTAAGGAAATAAATGTTCAATATGTACAGTTGATCTTATCACAAATTATTGAATTAAAGTATAAAGAAAGTATTAAAACTTCCTGAAGTATCTGATAGTGCAAGTAGCCAGATATGGCAAAAGCTCCAAAAATCATGTGTCTCAGAATATCATTGGCACATTGCAGTATTATGAGAACAATGTAAAAAAAACGAAAGACAAGGAGTTCATTTAGCTGCATTGACTGAAACGAAATTAAAAACATAAAGAATATATGTTGTAACTGGTATGTAACAAATTCAAGCGCACCATTTTATGTCCACCAACTGAAGCCAATGCCTTACACCCATCAATGTCCATGGTTAATTGGCACAACATTGGAAGCAAGAAGCAGACAGAGTAGAAGGGACTACGATTTAGTAACAATATGCAACAATCAGCAATGAACTAAAAATATATCTTGAGTACTAAACATAAAAACCAGAAAAGAGAATTAAACCTTGATTCCTCTTCACCTTCAATTGATAGAAGATATCCTAACAAATCTCGGGTCTTTTCCTTACATGCAGTGGGTGCCTCTGCAAGATAGCTGGAAAAGACATTATATTCAGAAAAAGTTGATATAATATAAGATCATGGAAGTCACCTAGATAGCAAAACAAAATAGACAGCTACGCTCCTAGAGGCCACACATTTTTTCAAGCATTTGTGTAACTTTATGTAAAAAAAACTGCAGGCAATCAAGTCAAAAGTGGTAAATAGTTGCATAAGTGAAATCAGTTAAAAGCACTTGTGAGCATTAACTACTTCATACTAATATGAGGACAACAAAATCTTTGAATGGCCATTGATAACTTATCCCATCTTATCACAGACCTTATTTTATTACAGGTTTCAACTTGGTGTTTGAATGAATTTGTTTTATTATATGAATCCAATTACAATCTATATTTGATGTTTCAGAGAGAATGTCAAAGTAAAATACCTTCCATTTTATTTCAAAAACTCAGCTTAATCAATAGTATTAAATTGGCATTAGATTGGAATCCAGCAATCTCTGGCATACCAGACGAATGTCAATCTAGTAAAAAAATTTCTACTAAATTCTCTATCTAGATTTTAAACATCCATAACAGCAAAACAATTCCACACACAAAAAAGTAGCTACAGTAGATGAGAAGATGGCTTAAATATCCATCAACTAGAAGACAACTGAACAAAACACAAGCAAGACAATTAACACCATATGTCTAGCTGCAGCATTGAAGTTCAAGGTTGCTAATACAATTAGAAAAAGGAAAAGTCAATCATACCTTCCTATTATTCGGACTGCTGCCAACAGGTCATCTCCCTTTATTTGACCATGATCCTACATAAGATCAACCGGATTAAGAAATTAACTATTTCAACCCTAGCCTAGGAAGACACTATAATCACCTTTGAGTCTTGCAAAAAATCCAGAACCAAATCAATTGTCTCATTGAGTCCCAAAATCATCTTTGTCAAAGTGCTCTCTTTGACGGAAGGATCTGCCAGAAAAAGAAAGGGCGGACGCTCATAAATCCAAAAGAATTCCTAGAAACCAAGAATCTATTAGGATAAAGTACAAGTACAAGTTTTAACGCATGTGCATGAAAAGTGCAAATTTATTCAGGAGATTCAAGCTTGTTGATCTACACTCCTTGAAATGCCTCCATAAGAAAATCATGATAAATGAATCCTGTTTATCTAACTGTAAGCTCATCAAAAAATAAATAGTCAAATTTATGATATATTGTTTGTTTTTCATACCAAACATCATTACTTCTAACACGGGGCACTTAAGAGGGTACAAACTCACATCAACTGTTGGTTCATTGAATTATGCTGTTGAGTGACTAGAATAGTCAAAATTATCGATCAACCTGAGACATCCTTTTTTTCCATCGATCATACTTGGTTTTTTTTCCTGATCAGTATATCATATACTTACCACAAGATGTATTGTACCAGTCTATTAACCAGTCAGTACTATCATGTTATCCTTGAGATCTGTTATGATAATGTCACAATGCTTCTTATATCAGGAAAAAAAAATTTCTTGGATAAAACAGATATTAGTGCCCTACCTACTCACGAATTCAACATCAACACATTTTTCAACTCTTCTTATGAAAATTCATGTATTAGAAAAAAAGAGTCTCTACTCAAGAACTAAACCAATATTTTTTTAATAAGGATACATATCAGTTGGTCTGTATAATATGTACCAACCTCTACGGTCAGGTACCAAGCCTTGGTCGGACCAGTAAATATCAGTCAGTATGGTACATACCAACCAGTATTTGATTCTTTGCTGTTTGGATCTCTATCCATGCTTTCAAGCCTATAATACAATAAAAAAAACAAGAAATTGGTAGCATAGCACTAGCTATGCAACTGTCAGTGCAACACACAGAAACAAGTAGCAAGCTAGCAACTACAGACACTAGTCTCACAATCCTTGTTTCAGTAGCAAGACATTGTATGTCACAAGTCCCAACATCTTGTATGTTGGTGCTATAACAAAAAAGACACCTGGTTGATTGAATTTAACTATTTAAAAGATAAAGTTGCAATCACATATATACAAAGAGCAAGAGAGCCCAGATCTATTTAAATTCATCCCCTCAAAAACGTAGGATCCATTATAAAAAAAAGAAGATATTTTTATAGTATTATATGTATATGTATATGTATATGTGTATATATATACAGATACATACGTATGCATGTATATACATATACATATACATATACATATCCATATCCATATATATATATATATATATATATATATATATGTGTGTGTGTGTGTGTGTGTGTGTGTGTGTGTGTATGTATATATATCCAGAGGCATAAGCAATTCTCTCAAGAGAAACTATTATTTATTACAATTCTGTGTTGTGATAATAAACAACAAATAAACTAATTGAAACAAGTACTAAAAAAACCAGGAAGAATAACTCTATATGGTGGATAAGAGTTTTTCGAAAATAACAGCCATAAATTAGATAACAAGCTAACTATTAGCCAACTACAGATGTACCTTTTGCCCCACTGACAGTTGACATAAGTTTAATGATCTTCTCCATCAAAGAAAATAATATAGCCAAAGATCGCTGCTTCTGAAAGATTGTTCCTGCAGCATCGGAAGAACTTCTGGAAGCTTCATATTTTAAGTAGGCCAGCTCATTAAGAAGAACAGCAACTTCTACCCTTGAGGACTCGAGTACAAGCAATACAAACCTAAAAGCAACTCAAGATAATAAAAAAATGATGTTACCACTTAAAAGAGGTTCCCCTGGGAAACCAAAGACATTGTTGCTCTTACTTGTCAACTGGCATCGGTTCCTGGTTATGATGCAAACTTGTGTGTTCCAGCAGCCAGTTTACCCCAAGTATAGACATCATTAAATCAGCCAGAAGAAGGGCTTGGAGCTTTTCAGTAGAAACTACAAGTTTGAAAATATATATTAATCATTAATTTTCCCTTAACAGTTATACTTGACTTCCATATTCTATTTGCAGTTAAGAAAGAAATTCAGACAAGGTCATTTTATTTTCATTGCTGTTTCTCAATACATTCTGCTCGACTATGTTGTATGGAACAAAAACAAAAGAATTTATTAAATTTACCACAGAAGAAAATCAATTGCATATATGCCAACATCATCATGTTTACTTTCTCAATGGGCCAATAGTGTGTGACAACAATAATTATAAAAATTAATCCAGCTAACATGATGGACAGGGAGAAAATAGGGGAAAGAATGGTGAGAAGGAATTCAAGAAGTTCGATTTTGTGTAGTGTAAGTATCAAAATCTGTAAAGCAGTGATGCAAACATACCAACTCGGTTTTGAAGTATTTCGCTAATGCCAATGCGTATTTGACTTGCCCAAATATCAGTTGATATTGACCTTAGAGCTTCATGAAGTGGCTTCAAAATAAAAAAGTATAGATATGATCACAAAATTAGTGTATTTGACATAACTTCAAATCATAAAATAAGAACAAAAAATCAAAATAAATCAACAAGAAGCTGGCTTCATCAGTGAGCCAATGATGAATGAAGCAATTAAAGTAAAACTATTATAAATTTTCAATAACAAAACAGCAAAAGATCCCCAACAAAATGTTTCAAAGTGACGTTACAGGAAGGAAGAATGAGGTGCAGCAACTTCACCTATTATTGTATCTTTCATTTGTTTTACAAGTCTATATGTCAAACAATAAATAAGATGGTTGCAACAAATTAGAAGACAATTAATGGTGGCAACCACTGAATTCATGTAATTTTCCCCATAGATGTTCCAGTCAGATTATCTTACCATACAGGAATAGGAAATATGTACTATTTACTGATACTACATGATATTCAACATGCAGCACTCTTCAAACATGAGAGACGCATGAGTAACTGGACTACAAATATGAGAGATGCATGAGTCATTAGACTAAAAACATGGGAGACAGCATGAGTAACTAGGCTATGTTTATATTCTTTTTGCTGATTTTCACTTCCATTTATTCACTTATTGCTATTTCCTCCATTCTCTCAGTGTGGACAGCAGATGTGGACGGCAACAAACAGGACATTAAAAATTCTTTATTTTAGTTAATTTTCATTAGGATAGTTAAAGATAATTATTTAGATTTAGTGACTGCTAATATACCCAGTCACTGTAGCAAACAGTTGCAACATCAAGATAAAGAAAAATCAACTTTGTACATTTCACATGATTTAATATAGCTATTAATTGATCATGTAAATTCACTTGCTTTCCAATCATAATCTTGTAGAGTTTTTTTTTTTCAAGTAGACCATAAAGGCAAAAAGCACCATAAGGGTGGAGCAATGTCAGGTACCAAAGCAAGAAAAACAGTCTAGCCCATAGTGCGTGTGACCAATTAGATTCCACTACAGATATTATGATTTATTTTAAGTTTAATTGATGGTAGTTATGCCTTTAGAATATAATTAGATGTATAAGCCTGAAGATGCAAATCCTTACCAACTAATTAGAGATTGATTCTAGTGTAATTGACATAGATACGTAAATCATGGTCAGTTTCTTCAATGCAACATGTACTATAATGACCTATCAGAAACAAAACAACTAACCAGTAGTGACACTCAGGGGCATCAGTCTTCTGAACAAGCACAAATAGGCATATGCTGTCATACCAATGTAATCCAAATGCATTCAAAACTTTCATTTGTTTCTAACTGTTCTACATATGTAACTTGACTTTCAAGTTTTATTAATTCTAAAACTGTAAGAATACTACGTCATTAGCTTGCATAATAAATTCCTGTGTCATTGGATGCATGTGCTAACCAACACACAATTAAACATGAAATGGTGAATGGCAATGCAATTTATTAGTTTCAACAAGCAATTGAATGAAGAAGAAGAAGGAGAAAGTACTTATGCACGCATCTTTGAATATTTTCATATTGTGTACTGATTTTTAATGACAAAAGGACCTCTAGCAAAAGAACACAGAAGCTAATCACTTGTAAGTAACCAGATTATAATTACATTTTCAGTCCATCATCTTGCTTATCCTATCTAGAAAAGACTCTAAAATTCTTCTTTATTTTTCATGTTTAATCATTTAATGCAAATTCTGACAATGTGAAGCATCAAATGCATCATTAACACTGATGCAGCTATGACATTTTCATTCCAAATAAATAGGTGACAACCAATGGCTTCATTGTAACATCTATGCAGGATCTTATGCCTAAATTGACTAACTCGTGGAAGTTGCATCAAACATAAACTTAGCTCCAAGTACACTTGGAAAGGAAAAAAAAAAGGCAACTTTAGAATATCTGACTTTCTTCCATAATGATTGATATCAGATAGAAGATAAGGAGACAGAAAAACATCATACAACGTAATTTGATGATAGAAGTGTAGTAAGCATATGCAAAGCATCGAATTTGTGGATGTTCTGCAGTACAGCAAATTGCCTAGCAACAGAAGTCACCTGGGGATCACATAAGCTGTCAGTACATACATAAACAAATAGATATCGTAATAAACCATCATTAGAAATGATTGAAATTGAAAAAAGAGAATTATATAAGTGCATGGCAGCATACCATGGCTAACATGCCTCGTAGGTTCTCATCATTTAACAAATCATCAGATAGCCGATTCACTACTAGCTGCTGAAGTTGCATGGCAAACTCAAGTGACCGAGAACCTTCAAAGAAATAAAGACTTGATAAAAAAAACAACATAATCCACATATGGGATATAAGTTCAAGGCATGTCCAAGTCAGCATTAAGGCAAAAGGAGAAAGAAAAAAAATAAAACATAAAACTTAAGCACTTCTGTTCAAAGGAGAGAACTTCCAAAGACCTGTCAAAAGAGAAGATCCAAAAGAAATTCTATAATGAAACCACTTTCTGATAAAACTTGACCAACTACTTGACCTATTTATTTGCCATTCAAGTAACTTTAGCAAAGTTGAATTGCATTCAATAGCATATTCTAGATATACATGAATTCTAAGGTTCAACTCTAGAGTTCTCATTAAGAGTTTAATCCTACCGTAGACATCTCATAACAAACTAAATTGGACTTTGAAAGTGTAGCCATGCCTTGATCCAGCCATTGATCCGTAAACTTTCAAATTTCCATTAGTACATCAACAGTAAAGTACTAAGAAGAGAGGTGCCAGATGAAACAAGTCTAGTGGAATTTGTGGAAACTAAGTAAGTCAGATTAAAAAGCTTCATTGGTATGAGCCATCAAGCATGAAGATATGTGATTACCTGAGGAGTCCTTAAGGCAGGTTTACGGCAACAGGTAAATCAGTAGTGTTCATAAAGTTGAATACATATTTATTAAATCCAGCACCAAGTCCAATATGTTTCTAACACCCAACAGTTCCAACAAAGGAAAATCAAGTGCATTTAATACCATCAGTCAGAGTAGAAATATGTGGAGCAAGAATGTCCATCACTCCAGATTCATAAAATTTGACTAGACCATTCTCTGAAGCTGCAGCAACCAACAACAGAAACTCATAGCATTCCTCAACAATAAAGGGGTCAGACCTGACAAACAAATTCAGTGAGAAGTAGTTAAGCAGAAAAGTAACGTACATTTATATTACAGAGAACTTTAATCAGAGATCAGAAAAAAATGTCTCCAATGTAAGGTAATATGGTATATGAACTGCAATTGCAAATGGTACTATTACTATAGCAACAATCACAAATCAGCAGAACATAATATTATTAATCAAGGGAAGCAACGTTAAGTGGGCAGTCCTCAAGGCAACTGTCTAAACTTTGAACATGGACATGGTGATCCCACCCCAAGCTTCAGTACTCAAGTATTTTAGACTAATTTTTTAGTTCTCCAATTTGGTATAAACTTAGGAAACCTACAGAAAGAAGGTTTTTATTCCAAATTTTCCAAAGATTTTTTTTTTCTATAAGTTAAGCCTATTGTCATTCTCATTTTTGTAGCCACCTTCACTACCATTGTTACCATCACCATAGCACCACGTTCTTGCCAATTTCACCATTGCTGCTGCAGATGTTGGTACCAACCTACTACTAATCTGCTTCAACCAACCCTATTGCCACCACCAATGCTCATACCAACACTTCATCTCCACCATCATTGTTGGTGCTGCCACAACTACCATAACTGTTGCATGCAACACCACCACCATCACTGCAGCTAACACCAGCTCCATCACAAGGAGGCCGCTGCTGCCATCAACAGTCTTGTACCACCTTCATCACCTCATCACCACCATAGCACCACTACAACAACCCTAAAGCCATCACAGTCTCTACCACCTCACCTGTTGTAACTACACACTATTATCATTTCCATCATCCCCATCATACCATTTAGGAAACGTGTTTAGCACATTATTAATCATGGAGAACAACAACGATAAGCCATAAAGTCCTAACTATTGGAGTCAGTTACACAAATCTTTTCCGTCCATTGATCTCTATTTATGAAAATGACACTACAAAATTTTGCTCTTGCAGACAGTTGTCTAGAACATTTTTCTTTAATTTTTATCTGATCATGAGACTGACAATGGAACAGATTAAATTTATTAGCGTGCACACAAACAGGTGGAGTTGCGTTTCTTTCTCATTTCTTTCCCACAAAAAAGAAAATGGAAAATTAGAGATAAAGCATGAAAATTGGTGATCTATTTTCAACGAGAACACATTCACAGTAGTTGCATTTAAAATTCAACCACATGTATCACATCGAGATATAATAGGGCATAGGGCACAGATATAACTAAGCATAAATCCTTCAATACCAACAGTTTCGTCATGCAACACCCAATTTTAGAACAAACAATAATTAAAGACAAAAAAAAAACATACGACGTTGAAGTAATTTCTGCTACGTGAGGAATTTGGGAGTTCATTTCCTCCGACGACGCAATCTCCGGCACCCGACACAATGCAGCAAGAAGGGTGATGGAGAGTCGCAAAAACGCCTCCTGCTCCTCGCCACTCTTAACCCCGCTGGCTCCCTTTCCCATGCCTTAATCAAGACCCAAGAACCATGATCCATCAAACCGGGTTAAAAATTGGAGTAACATGAGATATTCAAAAATATTACCGGTCATGAGGAGCCGCTGAAGGAATCTCGCGCCGACGGCTTCGTAAACCTTGAGAACAGAAGCGGTGTCGCCCCCTTGGCAGAACTTGGCGGCGAGGAGGAGTCCGGCGAGCTTCTGCTCGTCGCGCTGCCCTCTCAACAACTTCAAGCAATCGTCGAGAGAAGGGCCGGTCGATTCCTAAGGCAAAGACAGAAGAAAGATTAGAAGGCTTCCATCGTACCTCGAGAGAGAGAAAGACGCAGAAAGAGATCGGAAAAAAGGGATTAACCATCGAAAGGGATCGAAGACGAAGAAAGAATAACTCCGGTTCGATTCTGGATCGGCGAGAAGGGAAGGGTTTCTCAAGAGGATGAGACGAGGGAGACACAAAACGAGAGGGTTTCTTGAACTCCACCGAACGTTCGAGGAGCTCGCTTTTGTCGGGCGATATCTTAAAGAGATCCGATACCCGTTAAACCCGTTAATTAAACCGTACTAAACAACACCTTTTTTGTGTCTCAAAACGGATCGGATCGATCTTTAGATTAGAAATCCATGCCCGAAGGCGCCTACCGCCGTCTGTGTCCGTTCTTTCTACAGCAAAATGTCTTGCATATCCCTACAGAACGCTGAAATCACAGATTTATTCGAAATATCACTCTGTGCTTTACATTAACCATCAATTTTATTAAGTTGATAAATAGGAAAATTTATGAAGCTAAATTTGATATTATTCACTGAAAATACGAGAAAGTATATGCATGATACTTTTTTATCTTTTTATTTGATTTTTTTTTGTTTTTTGCTCTTCTGATTTGCTTGTTTTAAGCAAGCGATATTTGAATATTTAATTTTAATTTTAAGAAACCTAAAAAAAAAACTATGCTTTAAGTATTATTTATCATATATCATCAATATATGATTTGCATTGTTGTAGATTTTTTTCTTCTTACCATTAATCAAATTTATCATAATCAATGTTTTACTTTATTAGAATTATTCATTTCCTTATTTGTGTAATATGATTAAGGAAATAATTAAAATTAGTTTCCTTAAAAACATGGATAACTTAGTAATTTATTCAATTTAATTAAAGTATTAATTAATTTTAAAAAGTATTAATTTAGTGATTTTTTATGAAATAATTATTTTTAAATTTTTTATGTGTGAAAAAAAATTTAAATATAAAAATTATTTATTTCATAACTTTCGAGATGAAATAATTTTGATTTTATATTTTAAAATATTTGATATTAGAATTGTTATATTATTGTGATGTATAATAATATTTTTACTTCAAAAAATTCATGATTAGTAAATAATAATCATTAAAATTTGATGCTAAAATAATTATTTAGTTTCAAGATGATGAAGCATGAATCATGATGTTATTTATATGCTTAAATGATAAGTTGATGTAATTTTATCTTAAACCAAATTATTTTAAGAGTTTTAATTGTTAGTATTCTAATAAATTTTAATTTTAATTCATTTAATTAGACAGTTATATGTTTTTTATGAATTTATATTTTTTTTAATTAGTCTTAAATTTATTAGATTATTTGATTCATGGAAAATAAATTTTAAATTTAATTATTTATAATCTATTTTATTGTATTATCAAATGTTTTAATGAAATGCTTATTCTGGTAATTCATTCAGGTTTTATTGTTTTTATTCTATATGTATTTTTATTCTAAATGTTTTTATACTTTTTCTAGTTATAAATATTTAGTATTATAAAAATAAAAAAATATTATATATATATATTTATATTTATATATAATGGATTTTGAAGTGATTTTTGTTATTGACATATATTTTCTCATAAATTACACCACTTATTTCCAGTAGCGTCACTAAGCAGTCTCTGTAAATTATCGCCATAGCTACACTACCGACAACTTTAAGGAAAGATCGTTGTTCTGCAACATGGACAGTGGGAGTTACTCCGCAGCCATGGCACCACACAGTCACAGTGAAACCTGTGAGCACAAGGCAAGCGAAGCAGCACGTCTCCCCTCTTGAACTCCTCCAAACAGATTGCACATTCCGCTTGCTCGGATGCCGTCCACCCCAGCTTCTTACTCCAGCTGAACTTTCTGGTGCTCTTGGACGAGAACACCTCTCCCTGCACACTCCCTGGGATCACTTGCTCGCTACCGCACTCGCTGTTGCTTTCCAAGCCACGATACCTGCAATAGGATCAGAAGAAAGCTGTAGACTTTGTGGAGCTCAGGAAGCATGGAGTGATTCATCATCCCGTCACACCTCTTGATCTTTAGTCTTGCATCCAGTCTCTCCTTGGCCTCCCGAGCCATCGATCCAAGTGCTCCTTCGTGGACTTCTTTGTTCAAAATGGTTCTTTGCTAGTAATAGAATGTGGTTTGGCCAACAGCACGCACAACAAAGGAGCGACCATGAGCTCAACAAGTTGAAGAACGATCATGGCGAAGAACAAGTGCTAATGAGTGGTCACGGTTACCATGGAGCCAGTAGCGGAAAGATGTGCTTCACATCCTATTGTATGTAAACAATAAGATGATCTCCTCGTACCGGTGGATGAATCCGTTGAGCCGCCGTGGTGGAGTCGCCTTCTCCGGGCAAATTCCACTCCCGGGAGCATCCCAGCCATGGATGGCGAACACAGACAACAAAGGAACAACAGCTACCTGATTCTATATCGACTTCATCTCCATCCCACTGCGGCTGAGAGTTAGAGCTCTACGGTAGCAGAAAGCACTCCATGCTTTTGCCGAAATTTCATTTCCATCACCACCACATACACCTTCAAATGGTACAGAGTTTACATGATATATGGAGATGTCAGGGAACCACACGAAGCAATTGTAGGATAGAGGAGGAGAAGAATCGATCTACTGGTGGTGGCAGACAAATAAGGGCAACTTCCTTGAAGGTTCGCAGCATGAACATAACAGTCCTTTTCCTTTTCCTTTGTCCAGTGCACAGTGAACTCTATATCAAATGGGACATGCAAGTGAGAGGGATAGCATGCTGGTAAATGGACAAGCAATCAAAAAGTGAGAGAGACATCTCAGTTCTCTCTTGCTAATTTGCAGAATAAATTAGACACAGCACACAGGACAATGGCAACAATGACATCTCTTCCAACCCAGGTTTTAGACAGACACCAGATGAACAGTGTAATCTTGTTTTATACTTTTTCTTGAAATGAAAGCTGAAGCTGACTTGATATTATCATGATAATTAACCAGGAAAACCCAGATAAATAATGGTTTTCCGATCAGGGAACAGTAAATTTATGTTAGGACATTCAACACAGTTTGCACCAGGAAGAAAAAAAGAGAAAACTTGATATCACATAACTCCATATGAATAATCATAATTGATCTGTGGTAGTTTGCACGGAGTTGCTTATGAGTATTACTGTTTGTCTGTGTAAACAATCTTAAGCTGTGACCTCGAGGCTGACGCGGTTGGGTTCGGATCCGAATGATGGGGATCTTTTCGAGATGACCTTCGAGTCTGTCGAGGTGGTCGAGATGGTGTCGTTGTCTCCTCAGGGCAGGAACTCCTCGCCTTCGCGTCCTGCGGGGTCCTTTGGCTTCGCACCAGCACACAGGTTGGGTCGGGGTGCTCGGCCCGACCCTCCGACGATCAAGTTAGTTGATGGCGAAGGGGACTTCAGATGGAAATGTCTTTTCTTTCTCCCCCTCTTCATTTCAGAGTGCGAGGGTATTTATAGGGAAGCTTATTGTTTCCCGATGTACCCGCTTGCAGGGGGCAGGCTGATAATGTCTGACATTGGTGCTGGCGTAGCGTGAAGAATCGAGCCTGTGCAGGCGTTAATGCGTCTCGACCGGCATTCTGGTTCGTTTGACCAAGTGATGTCGCGTCGATTAAGGCATGAGGCGTCATCTGACGTCAGCCGGGTCTTATCTTAATTACTATCCTCATCAATTACCATCATAGTCAAGTAATGATTGTTGATTATATACACATTTGAGTCGATTAGAGTTGTTATCATTTGCTTAGTTTGAGCTTGATTATAAAAGCCGATCTCGATATAGATAGAAGATTCTTGACATGATCATTTCGATATTTAAATCAAATCGTTAAGATTTAATTAAAATATAGAGAAAAAAAAAGAATCAACTCGTGTTAATGGAGTCTGTCTTCACCTTTTATAATCGATCATCTCCCTAGTCGCTTGTGATTAGAAAAATATTTCATATAATAAGAAAGTATTTAAAGAAAAATTTTGCGTTTAGATTATACTAACAAATCATGAGTAGCGGTGTCGGTGGCAACTTCTTTGGATCTGATCACGTGCGTGAGAACAAAGCTACCGGGACGGAAGCAGAGATGCCCATCAAAAGGAGGGATGTATCATACAAATCTCACCAATCGTAAAGAAACTACATCAGCTAAATGATTTATTTGCGCGAATTTTGAAGATGCTTTTGGGGGTGAAACTGCTATCATTTGTCTCTTACTCGTTCCCCGTGTCTCATGCGGCCGTTACGCACATTTTTATTGTCCGAGTGAAAATAAGAAAAAGACCTAAATGGAATTAAATATAAAGTGTATTTCCGAAAGTAACCCCCGGTTGGATGAAGCGGGGGCATACGGGATGAGTATTCACTCACGCATAAGATACACAACCGACGCTTGGTGGGGAATAGGGGCACCTGTGGTGGATATTTTGGGCATTTTTGGGCGCCCCAAGTCCCGACCTCGACCGGCATAAATATCGTTTCGAGCCCCTCCCCACTGCGTCTTCTTCGTCGCCTTCTCACTCCTCTGTTCTCCGTTCTCCTCAGATTCCTCCTCCCGCCCTCCCTCCCTCTCTGCCGTCGTCGATTGGTTAGATCTCGCATCGAAGCGACTCGAATAGAGGTCAGATCTGCTCTCTCCTAATCCTCCCTGTTCGATTCGTTACTGTGATTTTTATGCCTTGTGCTGATGCGCATTTGTAGATCTGACGCTCGATTCCCCTCAAACGCCGAGATCTCCTCTTCCTGATCCGGTTTTGATCTCTGTGTTCTACAGATCTGTAAGGGAACCCATCCCTGATGGGTCTTGCTTCCGGTTTCGGCGCTAAGATGGGATCTCTTCGCGGATTTGGCCTCTGGTTGCTGGTCTCCTGCCTCGCCATCATCCGATCTGGCGACGGGTTCTACCTCCCCGGCAGCTACCCCCACGAGTATCAGGTCGGCAATCTTCTCTCCGTGAAGGTGAACTCCCTCACCTCCATCGAGACCGAGTTGCCCTTCACCTACTACAGCCTTCCCTTCTGCCGCCCCCCGGAGGGCATCAAGGACAGCGCCGAGAACCTCGGCGAGCTCCTCATGGGCGACCGCATCGAGAACTCTCCCTATCGTTTCAAGATGTTCACCAACGAGTCCGACATCCTCCTCTGCCGAACCGATCCGCTGTCAGCCAAGGACTTCAATCTCCTCAAGAAGCGGATCGACGAGATGTACCAGGTCAATGTGATCCTCGACAACCTCCCGGCGATTAGGTACACGAGGAAGGGCGATTTCCTCCTCCGGTGGACAGGGTACCCGATCGGTGTCCGGGCGGGCGACGCCTACTACCTCTTCAATCACCTCAAGTTCACCGTTTTGGTGCACAAGTACGAGGAAACCAACGTGGCGAGGGTGGTGGGCAGCACCGGGGACGCGGCCGACGTGATCCAGACGACAGACAAGTCGGGATCCGGCAAGCCCGGGTGGATGGTGGTCGGATTCGAGGTTGTGCCGTGCAGCTTCCTGCACAATGCCGAGTCGGCCAAGAACCTGAAGACGTACGACAAGTACCCGGCGAAGATCCAGTGTGATCCTACCACCGTGGCCATGAAGCTGAACGAGAACCAACCTGTGGTCTTCACCTACGAGGTTGCCTTCGTCGAGAGCGACATCAAGTGGCCGTCCCGATGGGATGCTTACTTGAAGATGGAAGGAGCGAAGGTTCACTGGTTCTCAATACTCAATTCGCTGATGGTGATTGCTTTCCTGGCCGGCATTGTTCTTGTGATCTTACTGAGAACCGTCCGAAGAGATCTCACCCGGTACGAAGAGCTGGACAAGGAGTCGCAAGCGCAGATGAACGAGGAGCTCTCCGGGTGGAAGCTTGTCGTCGGGGACGTCTTCAGGGCTCCGAGCCACCCGTTGCTGCTTTGCGCGATGGTAGGTGATGGAGTGCAGATACTCGGTATGGCGGTCGTGACCATCTTGTTCGCCGCACTTGGATTCATGTCGCCTGCGTCCCGCGGAACCCTTATCACGGGGATGCTGTTTTTCTACTTGATCCTCGGAATTGCAGCAGGATACGTTGCTGTCAGGATGTGGAAGACGATCAATGTCGGAGATCACTCTGGATGGGTCTCCGTCTCCTGGCGTGTCGCTTGCTTCTTCCCTGGTATCGCCTTCTTGATCTTAACAACACTAAATTTCCTGTTGTGGGGTAGCCACAGCACCGGAGCGATTCCGTTCTCCTTGTTCGTCGTGCTGCTGTTGCTCTGGTTCTGCATCTCGGTTCCGCTTACTCTCGCCGGTGGTTTCATCGGTGCCAAGGCACCACATATCGAGTATCCTGTCCGCACAAATCAAATCCCTCGCGAGATCCCTCCACAAAAGTACCCATCTTGGCTGCTGGTCATCGGAGCAGGGACTTTACCCTTCGGCACCCTGTTCATTGAGCTCTTCTTCATAATGTCTAGCCTTTGGATGGGCCGAGTCTACTACGTCTTCGGCTTCCTGTTGATCGTCTTGATTCTTCTGGTCGTCGTCTGTGCCGAGGTATCTCTGGTCCTCACCTACATGCACCTATGTGTGGAAGACTGGAAATGGTGGTGGAAATCCTTCTTCTCCTCAGGATCAGTGGCTCTATACATCTTCCTATACTCGGTGAATTATCTGGTATTCGATCTTAAAAGTTTAAGCGGCCCTGTCTCTGCCACCCTCTACCTTGGCTACTCATTGTTCATGGTCATTGCCATCATGCTTGCTACTGGCACGGTTGGATTCATTTCATCCTTCTGTTTTGTTCACTACCTCTTCTCATCCGTCAAGCTAGATTGAGCTACCACTTCTTGTTCCTTAAACTCGAAGAACGTACTTGCTAGTGGGTGCTATCTTGAATGGGGAGCTTGGACAGTCTATAGAACACATACTACCTCATTTGTATCTTGTTATTTTTCATTGGCAATAACTGTGGCTATACCATTTTGTCACCTGCATTTTAAGAACCTTTCTCTGTCATAGAATGTGTATCAGTCGAACTATCATTTTTTTTCTTCGTTGTTGTCTCTTTTTTCTATTGTTTGTTAAGCTGTAAACATAGTCAGCCAATGCATTTGTTTTCATGAATAACTGCTGCATCCATGAATCCTGTAGTGCAAATGTTTGTGTGCTGGATTACACCATGGCATTGAAAGAAAAAACTTGATAATGGAGCTTCTAGTAAGATTCGGGTTATTTTCTTAGAAAATATTCAAAAGGTATATCCTCTTTTATTTTTTTAAAATACTACCCTTAATTTTAAAAATACCTAAAATACTCTTCAAATGTTTTTACGTCAAACTTTTTTGCTTGTTTCCTCACTAATTTTTAACTATTATGATATTTTTATTTAGCTCATTTATAATATTTTTTAATTATATTTATAAAATACTATAAGTGTTGTCATATCTCTTTGGTTGTTATTTCTTTATAAACTATTATAATATTATATTTTTTAGGCTTTTAGTTAATCTGATTGAGGCTAGAAATCTATTTAGATTATCTATAGCGTTTTCAAGTAGATTTTATATTAATTTTTTAATGATGACCAGTCATTGTAATATTTAAAGATACTTTAATAAGCAAAAAAAATTAAAAGAATAATTTGAATATTTTTAAATTAAAAAAAATACTGTTTTTAAAATAAATATATTAATAAAAATCTAAAATATAAATATATTTTAGGAAATGTGAGCACCTATTTATATTTAATGACATGATTGTTGTTGTGACATCTTCCACCTTAAGGAAGCCTTTTTATTTTGTGTGCGGTAAGCTGACCCCAAGGCTCCCAACTTTGAGTTATGATCACCGTCGGTGGGAGTAAGAATACAAAAATTGGACGGTTTCGGTACCATTTAGAATTATTTGGGATTCCTGTCACCGACCATTTCCATAGACTATATAAACCCTCATTTCGGGGTCGCGTTCTTCTCCTCTGTCTTGCTCTATAATCCCCCCTCTGTATCTTATGGCGATGGATGGGAAGACTTGCTTCGCGATCGCCAGCGACCGTCGGCACCGCCACCCGTACACTGTGAGCGGATATCTCTGCCAGACGATTCCTTTTATTGGTTTCTTCGGTCTAATTGTTGTACCTTTTGTTGGGATGTCAAGGTACCAGCAGCCGATCTTTCGCCATAATCTCTATCAACTGAGGGCAGGAGAGGTATTTGAAGCCCCAGACATCCCGCCGTCTCGTTGCCGCTCTGCTGTGTGAGAAAAGGATCGCCTTTGCGATTGAGAAATTGGATTTTTGTCTCGTCACTGCTGTTTGAGGCCTTCTCCTACTTAGTTTGCCACTAACGTTGGAATATTGTTACAATGGGCGTTGCTTCCAATTTGCTTCTTTTAACTCTTGTTGTGGAATTTGCAGATTCCAAACCTCAACCTACAAATTGAAAGATAATGTTAAATGGTAAAAGAAAAAAGATGAATGATATCATTTAACCTTATATGGTTCTTACTAGTGACTTTTGAATGTTTTTGGTTCAGTCAGTAAGTTATTGATGTATACTTAATAGTAATTAAACCTGCAAAAAGATTAGACAAGTTTTTTCGACCTAGATTATTTTTGCCAGCAACATAAATTCAGTATCACTATGATAGTTCCCTTGGTTCTACTCGAAGCCATTTGATAAATGGAACTTAGATATTTCCATGGAGAAGAAATGACTTAAGTAGGAATGGACATATGTAATTCTTTTTTTTGCTCATCAGGCTAATCTATGGAATCCTTATTTGTAATCTTAAGATAGTTGAGTTTCTCCAGATAGTTTACAGGATCAAACATTAATAATTTGTTTTCGTCTTTGAAATGCTTCAGCTATATAGAAGTTGTACACACATCCAAAACCTAAATGATCATTTTCTGCTCATGGACTTTTTCCTGATTTACTTTCCTTGTTCACTCCTCCTATGTAATGTAACATTGATGTTCTCATTAGAAGATGATCTTCCATTCATTTGTACAATGGATTGCCTTGATGCCAAGTATGCAACTTTTCTCTTTGTTTGTATTTGCCCATGGATCAGGCTTAGGTGTATTTATTGAAGATAATGGGTAGCATTTTGTTGTTGGTAGGAGCCTTACTGTCACCAACGTTATGATGGATAAATATTTACCAACAAAAATATTCCCGTTGTTCTTTTTTTTTTTTTTTCTTGTTGCTTCATGTAGAATTTTACAAGTGCACTAATATTTTGTTTGATTGTAGCTCTTTGGGAAATCATCCTAAATATATTTTTTGTAAGTTAGCCAAATTTTTTGCAGGTTATACTGCAATCTACTTACATAGAAATGCTAAAATGACACTGCCTTTTGTTTTGATGCATTTTTTTTTCCACGGAGCATACTTGACAAGTCCAAGGAGGGGATTCTGTGCAGAATGATGTGCAAGATAAATCCCCAAATCTGAAACATATTGTGTACAAAGCTGTCATCAGCTCTACTACTAGAGCTACTTGAGGGCAAAAGATCAGGATCTTTAAATTTACTTTCAGATTGTTTACACTTAGCATTGCCATTTACTCTTAGTAAGTTAGAATTAGTGATCAAATAGAGTATTACTGGGTGTTCTCAATTCATTGAAGAGCAAAGTTTCATTTTCTTTATGTGGCTTACATGAGTGATAGCCAGCTTGCAGTATTGAAAACCTCATGACTTGTGACATTGATGCTTCTCAAGGATATATTTGTGGTGAACACTAAGATATTTGTATTGCTAGTAAGGCTCAATAATAGGAAAACATAGCCTTGTTTAGGTCATGGATAATATATAGTTTGTGACAATGGATCATCCTCTTGGGTAAGCCAAAAAGCCTCAGTTAAGACATTTGAGAAAGACAACAAAGTACATCAAATGCAAGCTGGATGTGAGGATGATAAGTGACAGAATCAGACATATAGTGTATGAAATTATGCATCCATCAAGGTGTTAAATAATTTAACTTTTTGCTTTTGGAAATGTGGTCAGTAGGAAGTTTTAAGATGCACATTTGTTTTGCTTCATGGTGGATGCACAAAAATTTGCCTCCCTCTCTCCCTCTCTCTCTGTGTAGTTGCTTGTAACTCTGTTTCCAATAATGAATGATGTCTAACAAAGAAGGAAGAAGCATGATGTTTGGCGACTTTTGACTGTCAGTATTATCATTTCGTTTGCAGGAATTGAGCATCCAAGAGACCAAAGAAGACAAATGCCAAAAGAAACCATTTAGCCCGAATTAACACAAAGAAAGCAGGACATCACATTCACTTGGATCATGGTAACACATTCCCATCCCACTCTTGTTTGGTCCCGTTCAAAATCAACCCCAACGCCAAGCTCACTACACGGCTGTCTCTATATGTTATCTTCCATGGTTTAGACAGTGTAGTGCTGCTGTATCGTCTCGATGTCCAGCCCCTTTAGCTTCACCACAGACTCGACGTGGCCTTTTAGCGTGTGGAGCTCCCTCAGCCTGCAGCAGAAACAATCGACTCAGTTCATCAGCATCATGTACATGTTGATCACAGAATCCTCAAATGAAGGCTTTTGTTTGGTAGATTACCGGGCAACCTCGGCGCGCCTCTTCGCCTGCTCGGCGATCTCAGACAACTCCCTGTAGCTGCTCTTGTCGTTGAAGAGGTCGGAGGTGTCCGCGGGCTGCAAGCCATGGAGGGTGCGCTGAGCCAGAGCCCACTGCGCCTCCCTCTCGCCCCTCCCGTAATCCTTCTTCGTGGTGAACGCGGTCTGCATCATGGTCAAACAAGGGCACCGCCGTGATCAGATCCTGTTCGGTTTCCGTGTGTGCAGGTGAAGAAAGGAAGGAGAAGCGTGTTGACCTTGTTCTGGAGAAGGTTGTCCCAGGCCTTGCCGCTGAGAGCGTAGCGGATGATGAACTTGAGGATGTCGAGAGGGAAGTAGGTGATCAAGCTGAAGAGCCAGATGATCCCAGCCCATCCCCACCCGATGCCCTGGATTCTTGCGAAGCTCCACGACGCATACACGGCGATGACCGTCGCCACCTGCCATTACAAGGTTTCAGCAAGGAAGAAAGAAAGACGAGTAGTCGAGCTTATGGAGGACGCAGGAGTACCAGCTGGGCGGCGACGAAGGCGGCGACCAGCAGAAACCCGGGACGTTCGACGAAGGACCAGCTCCTCGACCTGGTGACGAAGATGAGTGCCTGGCTGATGATACTGACCTGGAGGTAGAGTGCTGCCGTCAGCTCCTCTTGGTTGTCCTTGATCGGCCTCACACCAAACTTCTCCTGTTTCGGAAAGGGCATTGACATCGGTTAACAGCCACACTCTTGCAGCAACGAGGCCGGCGAGAGAGAGAGAGAGATAGTGCTTCTACTCACAGGGAAGAAGTCGGTGGCATGTGCGAGCCAGAAGAAGACGACGGTCATTATGGCAAGGTACGCTCCGAGGACGACTCCGGTGGCAAAGATCTCCCGGAGCTTCCATGAGTCGGGCAAGGGGGAGGGCTTCACCCTGTCCTTGGAGATGGTCATGATGGTGCCGTCGTTGAGGATGGCGATGATGAGGACCATGAAGGGGGAGAAGTCGAACTGCCAGATGAGGGCGATGAGCATGAAGCCGAGCACGATACGGATGGTGATGGAGACGGCGTAGATGGTGTAGTTCTTCATCCGCTGGAAGATGGCGCGGCTCGTCAGCACCGCGCTCACGATCACGCTCAGCCCCGGCTCCGTCAACACGATGTCCGACGCGCTGCGGGCGGCGTCCGTCGCGTCCGCCACAGCGATGCCGATGTCCGCCTTCTTCAGAGCTGGTGCGTCGTTGACACCGTCCCCTGTCATGCCGCAGATGTGCTTCCTGTCCTGCAGCCTCTTCACGATCTCGTACTTGTGCTCTGCAGCAAACCAACAGATGGTCATCAGTGCAGCGCAGAGACTCGAGACAGAGCAACCCATGAGCTCGATGTGCACTCATCGTTACCTGGGAAGACTCCAGCAAAGCCATCGGCCTTCTCGATGAGCTCGTCAATGGGGAGGCCGGTGACGTCGTCGTTCTTATCGCCAAGAAGCGTGGAGGACGGGTACATGTTGGTTCCCATGCCGAGCCGACGCCCAGTTTCCTTGCCA